CATATATATGAAGCATTTTTTAATGATTAATATAACAAAATTGTTCATATTTAGCATTTATTTGAAACAGGGCTAAGTAAATAAAAAAACACATATATTCCTTTGTTAGGTAATAAATCCTACAAAATTTGTAATTCTACCCCTTCATTAGTTTTCTTCCAAATGGTCAGGAATTTAAACTGAATTACATACTAAAGCATTTGTTCCAAATGGTTAAACCCATTGGTCATTTAGCTGTCATCACCAAGAGCATTGCTTAGGATACAGAGGGGAGGAAGACCTGCACCCTGGAATTTGGATTAACAGTCAGTGGGGTTTTCATTACACAAAAGTTATATTCTTTTGTGTGTAACATTTTAAACAGTCGTTTGCCTCTTTCTAAATAAAAGCTAGTTTTTCTGGCTGTTTTTATATCATAGGATTCACAAAGTATCCTTAAATTCTGGCAGTACAGAAGTTTATTCTTTGTTTTTCAGCACAAAAATAGAATGCAAAATCCTATTGCTTAAAATAACAAATTTTGCAGCAAATTTTTAATGTCTCATTCAGCTTTTGACCATGTTTATTCTAAGGTAACTGAATTATGAGTTTTGAATAGTTTTGATTTTATTCAATAGTTTAATACGACTTAGAAAAATATAATCATTTATGAAAAGATATGAAAAAAAATTGTACATCATTCAACATTTTGATGGCAACCAAAATGTTGAATGATGTACATTAAACAAATAAGTACATTAAAAAAAATCATCTCATCTATCTTTTCCAACAATAATTTTAATCTCATCTTTCCAAGAAGATGTTATAAACATCTATCGTTCAATGAGCATACAGATTTTGTGACAGTAACCTTTCCATTATCTAGTTCGTAACATCAGTCTTTGAGATGTAAATTATTTTATGTGTTGATTGATGGCTGCTGCAGTGTGAAAATGAAAGCATGATATCACAGAATTACTAACTTTGTTATTGACAAGATTTGAAAATATCCAACATCGTCTTTTATGTACCAAGTGCACTGTCATAGCCTAGAAAATTATTTTTTGTATAGATTTTTAAATGCAATGGATATTTTTAATTCCTTAAGGGGGCTCAAATGTGATGGATCATGGCAAAACTTAGATTACCTTTGCATTTTAACAGTAGCATTTATATTCATCAGGTATTACTTGTAACAGTAATTTGTTTACGAAACATTTTGCTTGACTTTAAACCACAAATTACAAGGCTCCAGACATACTAAATGGATTTAGTTTGTAGAGAAAGAAGTCATTAAATGAAATATTTGTCTAAGTACAACCGTCTAGTAATTAGGTTTCATATATGAATTTTATTTATATTTTATGCTTGTATTGATGGCTAATGTAATAGTACCTTGGTTAATGACAATAATTCATTCTGGGATAACCACTGTTATCCAAGGTGTGATTTCCCACAAGTATAATAAAGATAATTCATTGATTCTTTCCATCTCTTCCCCACAATCATAGTGCATGTCAAATATGAAGATACAGTACTAACTGTTATTAGCAGCAGATTCTCTCCTCGAAAACTTGCTTTCAGACACGTTCTTATATCCTTTCACCGTGTAATACATGAATAATGTCTCAAATAATAATTCCATGTTAGTTGATCTACTGATATTAGGATCATTTAAATTGAGCTGCTAGATGGTACTAAAGCAAAATGAAATAAATACCATATTTAATTAAAGAGAATGTCCATTTAATACAAACTGTGTTTAAAAGAAAATGTATATGATCTAGGTATGAATATTTTGCAAAATAATACAAATGCAATTTTCTCAAAAAAACTACCAGTCTATACCTATAATCGTGTATTTTCCCCATGTTTCATTGAAATCTTCCACCAGTCAGTGTGTTGTAAACCAACGCTGGCATCATTCTCCAAGACAATTTTTGCGTACAGCTACTCTTCTTTACCCAGGATCCAAGGGCCCACTGTTTTTATAAAAAAAATATATTCAAATGAAGAAACCAAAATGTGATTTTTTCCTGTAGAAATCATTCTTTTCATAATTATGTGTCATAAACTCTCTATTTTAATTTGCTAATTGTTACTGGCAGATGAAAATGTTCGATTTGTTATTTAATATAGTAACAGTAAAATTCTTCACAACTTTATATATTTTACAGGAATGAAATGTTATTTCATCAAAAATGTATAAAAATGTTAATACTTCTGGTTTTTTATGTCTATTGTGGTTTTAATGCTGATGTATGGAAAATACCTATGAATATTAAATTTTTGACAATTACCTGCTGATATATGATTTGGATTTATAGAAAGATGTCTATACACTTTCAAGTTTAAAATAATCTTGTCTGTTTTCACATAACAAGTTTCTTGCTGCTTTTATGAACAATAAATATCAAGAAAAAAACACCCATAATCTAAACTAAGTCTTTAATATGTAGTTTCAAATACTTGGTCAAATTTAAAATTGAGAAACAACAGCCTTGTGTTTGGCATAGATTTTAACTGAAACTATTGATTTTGAGGGAGACAGGCAGAGGTCTCATTTCGTTCCAGATTTTTTTCTTCTTTGTTTCAAAGAGGGGCCTGTATCTGTTCTCCCTCAAAATTGATCATTTCAATTAAATTCTCTACCAAACACACAGTTGTTATTTTGCTTAATTCTAACTTTGGTATGTGTCTCTTCTCTCTTGACTTAAGCAAACATCTGTAAAATTTTATGTTAGAGAGCTTAAGAATCTCTTGTGTGTTTTTATACTGAATTGTAACTGAAGTTTCTTACTCTATCTTGTTGTTTTTGTCATTAAGAGAAATGTAATTTTAGAAATCTGTGTTTTAAATTTATCATTTCAAATATCATGCAATCTTCCCAAATAACTGCAAAATTTTAAACAAGTAGTGTTCTGTTGTGAGCTATATAAAGGTTCTCCAGTATATTTTTACTCTCTGAATATTATTGATTTTCCCTTACAGTTAAAACTATTTTTATTCATCCAATTTGTCAGTTTTCATTCTTCAAAACGTTTTTCATAATTCACCAAACATGTATATGTATTTCATAAAAATATTTTTGTAAGACAGTAAAACATTCTAAATATGTTATTTAAATCTGGTTTTCCACGTAAAATGTTTTCCTGTGTCAAATAATGCATGAAGGGAAAATTGCCTGTGCTGCTTTATTACAAGAACTTGGCTGAAAGACATTAAGTGGTGTAAAAACATGCCTGGTGTGAATTGTTTTATAAAAATACTAGCAAAACAAATTTAAGAATTCTTGTTAAGCCAGCTGACGTTACTAGAAAAAAATTACATATTGATTAGAAGCATGTTTCCGTTCAGTACTGCATAAATGAAAAGAGGACTCAGTGGACTAAGTATGCCAAAGAGAATAAAATTTCATTCCATGTTCTGCATTTTTATAATATATTTATTGTTCATATCCATAAATTTTTAAGGCAGTGAATGTTTCTTAGATGTGTTGGACAACTTCTTTCAAAAAATTGTTTTGTATTATGAGTAACAAAGTAAAGCTGTGTAGTAATTGTAAAAATATATATCTAATCTGAAAAGAAACGCATTTTAAAATTAATTTCCATAATATGCACTTTATAATTTTTATAAATCATTTATTTTAGTAAATTTTCATTATAGATTTAAATAGTTTCATAAGGAGTGGGCTATCGGCATCTTTAATAAGCCTACTGCACATTAAATGTAATTTCATTTAAAATACTATGCTATAATTTTTATTTTTAAATGTAACATTTCTGATTATGATGAATTTCTTTTAATCTAGACTTAAACATAATAGATGCTTTGAAGCTTTATAATTTTATACTTCAAGAAAATACCAGTAAAATTTACTTCTTGAAATTAGGTTGGTTAAATCGTGATTAAGAAATTAGCATTTTCATCATTAGCTTATTGAAATTTTTAAAAATTTTCATGCAGAAGTTTTTTTAATGTGACTTTTATGCCTGGAAAATTATGTTCTTGTATATATACTCATAGTAATGAAAATAGTCGAAGCAAAATTCAGTAAAATTTGTAATTAACAGCATTTTAAACTTGGAACTGGAAAATCCCAACTGTTAAAAAGAATCATTTTTGCCAAATTATCAATTATATTTTTGATACAGTTAAACAGTGAAGACATGTTTTCAATGGCTGTTTAATGACAACTTTGCAGTATTACTTTAAAAATTAATTTTGTACTTGTTAAGAAATATCTTGAAATTGTTTCTGTTAAATTAAACTGTTTTTCAAGCAACACTGTCTGTTTACTCGTTCTACTTCAAAAAGAACACTATCAAATGTGCAGTGTTAAATTGTCCATTAATAATTTTACTCTAAAATTCTAAAAAATTTACTATCAAATGCAAAAGCTGATAAAACTTAATTCATGCAATACATGTATGTTTATGTCCTTATAATATTGTGGTTCACAATGGTATAATATCAATATAACTGATACTTAGTACAACATCATATAACCGATGGGTTTTCATTTTACAAACTAACCCTCTCGCTGCGTAATTTTTTAATTACCGTATTTGACGGCATATAAGACGCACTTTTTTTCCTTAATTTTGTCTCAAAAAAGTTACCTGCATCTTATACGTGAAGGTAATTGCATTCAATAATTGTTTATTTGGCTTTTACGAAACGTGAGAACTAAAAGAAACCACGTTATTGAAACTTTTTTTCCTTGTGTGTGGCCGTCTAAATAAGGGTGCGTCTTATATGCCGTCAAATACGGTACATATTTCAAATCTACATGTATTTTAGAGCTAAAATACGCAAAACGTTTTCGTAAAAGAGATTTTTCCCCCCTCCCCCCAATATAGAATTAGCTCATAAAGAAAGGTTGTCGAAAAGTTTTAACTGAAAACTAACCATATAAAAGAAAAATTCTGAAAAATAATCTTGGTTAAATTATGATTTATTTTATAAAATATAATGGTAAAACGTATATACTGACGTATAACGTATAACAAATACAATTTCATTAAAATATAATTTATTTCTATCAAAGAAAAGCTTCAGGACATATAAAAATCACATATTTATACAATTTATATATGTTTCATATCAAAATGAGTTTATGTGCTTTCCAGTTCACAGAAGAATACACTTATAAATAATGAAAATATTTACAACTAAAAGGCAGAATTTACAGTTTGAACTATTAGTCCAAGATTTAAAAAAAAAATACTGGCCATGACAGCAAATTGCATTCAACTGCTTACAAAATTTCTCTCAATCAGGTTTACATAATAAATATATGCATAACTGGTTAAGCGAAACTTTAAATATGCTTTAAGAATAAATATTCATAAATAAAATTCTAATACTGCCATGTTTTATAATTGTCATACCCATATTATACTTAATAGCCTAAACAGTTTTAGATCACAAGAATTCATTACACTGTCACAGGAGAGGAAGCAAGGTTACGGGCATTTTTTGCTTCCAGTTCACGTTTCAGTTCCTCTTTTGTTCTTTGCAGCTGAGTTTTAACAGCTAGAAGTTCTCGGCTACGAATGTGTATAGGCTCCTAAAGAAAATTAAACAGACAACAGTTAGTTTCAACCTTAATGTATTATTATTTTCAGTATTACAGGTACATGAAAAGATCAAAGATTTTCAATGTTTGCAGGGTTCAGAGAAACGTAGAGGAGTTTTTTTCCCTTAAATCCTGCTCTTGGACATGATTCCAGTTACAACGTTTCTTGTAACAAGGTTTGGTTTAGTTGATTATGGCAACGCACTAGGCTAGCTGCCTAAGGAGAGGGGAGGACTTTTTAAGGGAAACTGGCTCGTATACATGTTACACACATGGCAAAATCCATGAAAACGACCATGCAGCCAACATGTTCACAGTGATTTAAATCCAGACCAAACTACCAGTGTTCAGCGGCTTTGCCACTCGGCTACTGGTGAGCCTCTTAAAACAAGGTACAAAAATTAATAAAATCAGTTTCAATACTGTTAGTAAAATGTTCATTGTGCATAATTAAGTTAAGGACAAAATGCAGTACATATTATATTTCTTCAGTTGCAGTATTTATTATATTTTTTCAGTATCATCAAAGGATAGGATTAAAAAAAAAAAAAAAGGACCAAATCTAAGGATGCAAAATAAAAAGTAAAATGGAACATTGAAATATATTTAACAAGTATTTTTAATAACCAGCTTTGATTTATTATCAAAAAGGTATACCTATTTAAACTAGCATTTGAGAAAAATTAATTACTTTGAAGAAATTAACATTATAAAGAACCTGGAAATATCTGGTTGTGACACTTACATATGGGTGAAAAGGTGCAGCTTAAGATAGAAATACAATATTTATGTGCAAAACAGACATTGGTAATTAATTGTTTCGTAAATTCAAATTTTAATTCAGCAAGGAGAAACTTTACGCTACAGGAATGGGACTATTCGCCGTCAAGACATATTTTTCTTTACAAGACTGTATTATATCTTACCGTATTATTTTAAGCTGATTTAAACTAATAACTCTGTTCAGTTTAATTATTTAATTTTATTTGATAAATGTTTTATATAAAATAATATACAAAATGTTTTTGTGTACAGTTTTATGCGTATACACCATTACACATGACATATTAATTTTTTTAAAGAGATTTAGGTGCTGACAAGATTTCAAAGTAATTCCATTTTCCATTCAAATTTCATAAAAATGTGATTTCCTGCTTGTATGAGCGATTTCTTTGAAGTACCCAATTAAAATTTCAAGAAATTTTGACAAATCTTGTACCCACATAATTTTAAAAATCGATAATATAACTTCTGTTATATCAGAAGTTTAGCCCCAGTTCTCTTTGATTCCGACATAATTTTCCAACTATGTGTAATTTCTTTATATCTCATTCTTGTAAATAACTATATATATTAAAAGAAAATTTAATATATATATAGTTTACCAGGATTTGAACCTGGCTCAAACTACCAGTGTTCAGTGTTCTTGGCCACTGGTGAGCTGATACATTCTGAGAGGAAGCTGATATGTAGCAGTTTATAATCTTGCAGAATCCATATTAAGGCTGAATTCAAATACAGAAATCATTTCTGAATGTCCTGACTAGGGGGGAACTTCATTGACAAGCACAGCTTTGTGAAAATTCTTGAGCATTTGAAAAAAAAAAAAAAAAAAATTAAAAAAAAACATTAAGTGCGATAAATTTTCATTTTAAAAATTCACATTAACTTATTCTTCCATCATATTTCTTGTAGCAACGGGAAATGAAGTCATATAGTAAAAATATAGAAAGCACTACTGTCTTTTGTATTTTCATATTATCACTTTCAAATACAATGTTACCATTTAAACTTTTACAATTTCAGGTTAATTAATCATTAGTCTGGAGAAGAAAATGAACGCATTATAAGTATTTAATTAATTTTCAAATGTTCAGGGAGTTGTTATTGGTTCATTTGTCTTTCTGATGAAAAGGCAGTATATGGTAATAAGTATGTACACTGAATCTTGATTTATATCTGTGAAACAAATGAACATAAAATTCTTACACAGAGTTTAAGAACATAAAGTTCTTGATGCATTTCAACCTTTTGAAGACTGCATCAAGAACTTTGCATTCTTGATAGCGTGCAAAAGGTTGAAATGATATCTTCTGATGTACAAGATTAAGAAGAAGACACAAACCATTGGTCATTTGGCATGAAGACCTACTTTTGCCACATGTATGAGAAGTATTTTAACCTTATGTGGTTTTATTTTGGTAGTTGGATAGCTTAAAAGAAGACTGTTATGGTTAAACCTAAACACCTGATACTGTAAAGGCCCTTATTTTCGCGAGCCTGTTGTAATCGCGAAAATTTAAGCTAAGGGAACTTCATTGACAAGCTCAGCTTTGTGAAATTCTAGAGCATTTGAAAAAAAATTAAAAACATTAAGTGCGATAAATTTTCATTTTAAAAATTCACATTTACTTATTCTTCCATCATATTTCTTGTAGCAACGAGAAATGAAGTCATATAGTGAAAATATAGAAAGCACTACTGTCTTTTGTATTTTCATATTATCACTTTCAAATACAATGTTACCATTTAAACTTTTACAATTTCAGGTTAATTAATCATCAGTCTGAAGGAGAAAATGAACGCATTATAAGTATTTCATTAATTTTCAAATATCCAGGGTGTTATTATTGGTTCTTTTCTCTTTCTGATGAAAAGGCAGTTCATGGTAATAAGTATGTACACTGAATCTTGATTTATATCTGTGAAACAAATGAACACATAATTCTTTATTAAGTATACAGAAGGTAAACAGAATTCTTAAACTAAATAAATTTAATACGAGTGTAATACGGCAAGATAAAATACAGTCATTTAAAGAAAAATATGTCTTGACAGCGAAGAGTCCTAGACCCAGGAGCTACTAACTGTCAAAACAACTAACTTTTATAGCTTCTCCCTGTATCTGGGAGAACTGTAATGGAATGTAGTAAACATCAAACTTTGTCATTTGATTGAAATCATAATAAGTTCACATGAATAATATATCATACAAAATATTTCCTTGAAGTAACTTAACAAGCTAATCACATACATTATCAACTTAAATTCATTGGACTCATTAGATCCTGTACACTTATAAATATATGATAAATGTCATATATATATTCATCATCATTTCTAATTTTATATACAATTACATAAGTAATAAATAAATGTCATAATTTTAAATACTTTGTGCTTTACAGTTTTTTGCTTATGGATCCTATCAGCAGGTCATAGGAAATGAACACTGTCTGCCAGTCAGTCAGCCTACTACTAGTAGAGCAGTTTCTTATGTTACTGCGGCTATCAATAGAAAATATTGAGGAAATGGATAATATTTTTACAAAATCAATGGATGTATAACCAGCTGTATAATTTATAATACCCTGCTTTGGAGTTCAGGTTCTCTAAACCAAAATGTATTATTTTTTAAGAATAATATCAGCATATAATCCTTTAGTGGCCAAATGAATAGGTTTTGAAAATAGTGTCAATATTTGCAATAAAATAGATCTATGGATATTTTCAGGGTAAAAAAATCTAGGATAAATAAAATAATAAATTAATAAAAATAATAAACAAATAAATAAAATAATTTCAGGGTTAAAAATATATGGATACTTTCAGGGTTTTCTAATACTGTAAATGTTAAGCATCTTTCTCAGTGCAGGATGTTACTTATAATAATCCACCTGATATATTTCTAAAATAATTTTGTATATGCCTTAAATATGCACTTAAAAACTTATTTATCTCCCAATATTATTCATTATACCTAAAAAATAAACTTTTAAATGAATGTTTTACTAAATTATTAATTTTTTTAGAATATTTAATGCAGTGGTAGTGCACATAAACACGTTACCACTTCTATAAGTATATGACTGATATTTTCTTTTGTAGACAGCAGCAACAACTGAAATTTGATTTCATACAACTAATGGGGCAATAGACTATGCATAATGACAACACCTGCCCACAGAGAAATAAAGGGAGGAAAACATTACTGGAACTGTACTACATTACTATACTGTATTGTAGTATTTCTGTACTACAATATGATTGGTCAAAATCTCATTGAAATCTTGCCCCCTCTCAATATAGTAAAATGGACCCGAGCCCTTGCTAACCGAAGAGAGTGAAAATGGTTTTTGCTGTAATCTGGAGGCAGATGAAGGTTCCCTTTTTTTCTTTTTTTCTTTTTTTTTTTTTTTCCGAGTTAACATTGCTTGTGCATACCAAGGTACTAAGTACCAGTACCAAGCAATATTGCATACTGTAAAGGCCCTTATTTTCGCGAAAATGAATATAGCGATGATTTCGCGAGTTGAAAATTTCGCGAATTTTATATAGTATAAATAGTATTCTAAGTGAATGAGCTGCCTACAATTAATTTTATTGTTTTATATTCGAGAAATATAGTTGTATATTATTCAAAAAGTCATTATAAGAAAGAAAGTTTTCAAGAAAAAGCTTGTAACTGTGCAATAAATTATTAAATTTTGGGTAAGTGAAAAATTTCTGATTTTTTATTATTATTTGAGGCAGGGGGAAAAAAGTACTTTGCGAGGCTTAAATTTTCGCGATTACAACAGGCTCGCGAAAATAAGGGCCTTTACAGTATCAGGTGTTTAGGTTTAACCATAACAGTCTTCTTTTAAGCTATCCAACTACCAAAATAAAACCACATAAGGTTAAAATACTTCTCATACATGTGGCAAAAGTAGGTCTTCATGCCAAATGACCAATGGTTTGTGTCTTCTTCTTAATCTTGTACATCAGAAGATATCATTTCAACCTTTTGCACGCTATCAAGAATGCAAAGTTCTTGATGCAGTCTTCAAAAGGTTGAAATGCATCAAGAACTTTATGTTCTTAAACTCTGTGTAAGAATTTTATGTTCATTTGTTTCACAGATATAAATCAAGATTCAGTGTACATACTTATTACCATATACTGCCTTTTCATCAGAAAGACAAATGAACCAATAACAACTCCCTGAACATTTGAAAATTAATTAAATACTTATAATGCGTTCATTTTCTTCTCCAGACTAATGATTAATTAACCTGAAATTGTAAAAGTTTAAATGGTAACATTGTATTTGAAAGTGATAATATGAAAATACAAAAGACAGTAGTGCTTTCTATATTTTTACTATATGACTTCATTTCCCGTTGCTACAAGAAATATGATGGAAGAATAAGTTAATGTGAATTTTTAAAATGAAAATTTATCGCACTTAATGTTTTTTAATTTTTTTTTTTTTTTTTTTTTTTCAAATGCTCAAGAATTTCACAAAGCTGTGCTTGTCAATGAAGTTCCCTTAGTCAGGACATTCAGAAATGATTTCTGTATTTGAATTCAGCCTTAATATGGATTCTGCAAGATTATAAACTGCTACATATCAGCTTCCTCTCAGAATGTATCAGCTCACTAGTGGCCAAGAAGTGAAGTCACTGAACACTAGTACTTTGAGCCAGGTTCAAATCCTGGTGAATGGGTATTTTTTTCCTTTAGAAAGCCCTCCATGATAACATCCTAGGCTTTAGGCAACTAATCTTCATGTGCTTTGCTGTAGTCAAACCAACCAAGGTGTTTTTCAGATTGTGACCAATCTAATACATTACAAAGTCTGTAATCCGGATGTCCATTATCCAAAATGATCTATAATCCGGACCTCAATGCCACGGACTTACGCATGCACGTTTGATGCACGAGTCCACTACGCATTCATGTAAAGCCAGTAAAGCGTTGACACATGTGCGCTTCCGATAGTGAAGAAAGTGACAGAGAGTTTATTTAAAGCGTCGGTATTCTCGACACAGCAATTACAGGATTTGAACAGTGGAACTTTGTAACTGAACAAGAAATTATATCTGTTTATAGAAGAGAGAATTAAAGAGAAAGCATTAGCATAAAAAATGAAGCAATTTAAACAACTTACATTGAAAGAAATGTTTAATAAAGTAAAGAAATAAATATTAAGCTTTTTGTTTGTAAATTTTGATACCCTTTAGATCACAATTGCTCTTTATTTCATAAATTACGGTTTCATATTTTTAATTTTATAATTTCTGCATGCCATCTTACCAAATTTAAATTGATGATCTATAATCCGGAAAAACCCCTAATCCAGAATAGCCGAAGTCCCGAGTCCGGATCATGGACTTTGTACTTGACAGAACTTTTTTTTTTCCTTGTGTAAATAGTTCATCACACTTATGATCATGGCATTAAATATGCTGAATGTTTCTCTATATATGTGTTTAATTTTCTTGCCAAAAATATTGTTCAGATAGTGTAGTTGAACGTAATATAAAAAACACATTGTTAGTCAAGGTATAAATGATTACTCTGGATGCAGGATATATATAGCATTAAAAATATTTTTATTTATTACAATGATGATGCAAATGTCTGTAAGAATTACCTAGTGAATATATAATAAATTATTTAAAAATACATTTATTGCTTTTAAATTACTCAATCTTTAAAGAAACTATGGTTGTAATTTAAAATATAAATTAAAGGTCTTTTATGCCATAACAAATGGAAATAATCCTAAGAACTAGTTATTTGCTAAGCCTCATGAGCAATGTGTAAGTGCCCTGTTACTATAATAATATCCCCAAAACTGGAAAGACAAAACAAGACTTACTAAAATTATTACGCATTCGATATAAACCAAACATAATTAATTACCTGTGGTCTCATACGTGGGTTCCAACGACAATAATAACTCTTCCAAAGCTCTATACACCGCATGCTAGGTACAGCAAGAAGAACGTGTTGCTCTTGGTAAGTGGTATACAAAGGATTTATGAAATCACTCTGATTGCTGTTGATGAATGACCACAAAGAAACAGTTCTATTTTTAACATCCTTAGTGAGAAAAGAAAAATTAAAATACATGGAAAAAGTTAAAGATACACAGAAAAAGAAAAAAAAAAAAATTCCTTTAGAATATTATCAGAGTAGCTGTTAAATCAATAAAACAGAGCAAATACATGAATTTCTCATCTCACACTTGAATACCTATATAATATACTGAGTGTTTAGCATTCATACATAGAATAAGATTCCACTGTTCAACATAAGAAAGGAAGGAAGAGATATTATGTGATATTCTTGAGCACAAAATATTTAGAAGTATAATAACAGCACAAATTGATTATCGTTAGAAAAAACATGTGATAGAACATGCTAACTATTTTTCATGTGATATTATAGTTAAATGCCCAAATGCCTTGCATAATAGTATACATATCTGTACAAGATGAAAACGTAGAATGTGGTAACTTAATTGCAATTAGCTGGCTCTGTGGTTCCATTCAAAACCTAAAACCTCTGCACATCTACATGATCCTAAGTTTTATGGCTATATTTAACACTATAAGGTATTTCTCCTGCCTTCCTAGCGTGCCTTCGTGGTAGTGGTTCTGCATGCTGGGCCAGTATTCCATAGGTCTGTGGTTCAATTCCCAGCGATTGCTCATTTTTCATCTTGCCTGCTCATTTTTGTAGTGGTTCTGCATACTGGGCCAGTATTCCATAGGTCCGTGGTTCAATTCCCGGCAATTGCTCATTTTTCATCTTGCCTGCTCTTGCCCACCAGCGGCCGAGCGGTAAAGTCGCTGAACACTGGCAGTTCGGTCCGAGGTTCGAATCCCACGAACGGGCTGGCTGCATGGGTGTTTTCGTGGTTTTCCCCATGTGTAACGTGTATACAAGCTAGTTTCCCTTAGAAAGTCCTCCACGAAGGCATCCCTCCTCTTAGGCAGATAGCCCTCGAGGCTTTGCCATAATTAAATAACCTAACCTAACCTAACCATCTTGCCTGCTCGAAAAATCGAACCTCGGTCCGTGGTTCGATTCCTGGCAAATGCGATTGCTCATTTTTCATCTTGCCTGCTCCAAAAAATGCCTAATGTCTCTACAAAGAATAGTATCTAGTTCATGAACAATGAACGGAAGATGTTATCTTTGCCACAATGCATCACACATATACTCAGTTGATTTCAAGGGAGCATCTACTAACTACACTTGGATACTTAAAGGAAAAAGGTATGCATTCCTCAGCACAGTCATTGAAAGAAACACAAACACTATAAGGTATTTCTCCCACTTTCTTAGCATGCCTTCGTGGTGTAATGGCTAGCACACTCTGCACGTATTTGAGAGGTTGGTGGTTTGAGTCCCATCGAGGGCACTACACATTTTTCATGTCTCCCGCATAAAAAAAAAATCCTAATGTCTCTACAGTGGCGCCCGAACTAAAAAAGGTGGTGGATGATGATTCTCCATCACCAGGATTTGGTGATTGTGTCCCCTAATGCCCAGTCTCATTTTAAAAAGGGGAGTATATAAGGTATTTCTCCCGCCTTCTTAGCATGCCTTTGTGGTGTAATGGCCAGCACACACTGCACATATTCGAGAGGTCCATGGTTTGAGTCCTGGCGAGTTGCACATTTTTCATGTCTCCTGCATCAAAATCCTAATGTCTCTACAATACTGTCTAGAATTCAGAAATGTGCCTATTGCAGAGGCAACAACAGACAATTTTAGCTGACATCCTGCATCCAATTGCTGCCACAAGAAGCTCTCTTTGCAGCTGACAACCATTTTGCTAGCTATTGCAAAATGCTGTTAACCTGTCTGCAAATATGAAGGCAGAGTATAAATCTACAACTGTATGTTGTAGATTTATGTTGTAGATTTATTTCTACAACTGTATGTTGTAGAAAAATGTGTCAAGTAGTATTGATATTTTTTTAAGTATAAAACAATTCAGAAATAATATAAAATATTTTTATATGTGATACAAACAACTACAAAATTAGTAGCTCATTCAAATAAGAAAAGAGACTAATCTTTTAATACATAAGTCGAGACAAAGTATAATATTTCATTGAAAATATGGTTCATATTTTCCTCATATAAGCTTGCCAAAAAAAATATTCATCTTAAAATGGCATATTTTATTATACTAATTACAAATATTACTGCTATTAATATATCAAATTATTAAAAAATTATTTAGTGAATATACTTTAATGTTCTAATCATTTATTTAACAAATTTAAAATCTTGGTCCTAACACATGATTACACTGATAGATGTGATAGTGTAGCTTATTTTTCTTGGCATGCTGCAAATAATTTATATCCTACGAAGTTGCGTCATAGAGCAAAACTGTCATAAATATTAAAATATGAGATTTATGCATCTGCATCTCATTTAATCTTGCCTCTTGTTGCCCATGAAAGCTCACTTCTACATGTAAGCTCTGGAATGTGTTGTTAGTTTTAAAAAATTAAAACTAAATTTATAAAATTATCTGCCAAAATTAAAATATAAAATTTTGTGTACTTGGAAAAAAAAGGGAGGATAGAAAGCTGTCATGAGATAGTTCTGAGCACACTTCTATCAGTAATCCTATCAGATTCGAGATATATTCATCTTCAGGATTTCACAAATTATAAAAGCTACCTGTTTGATCTCACGAATACTATACACTGACTCAATGGTTAAACGCACATCTGTGAATATTTGTGCATTTACAGTGAAACCATGAATGGCTAATTAAGATAGTTAAGGGCCTTGGATAACTGAGGCAATTTGTGCCTAATACATGCAAAACTCACTTTTAGGAATAAACACTTTTATCAGACCAGATTCTGAGTTAATAACACAGTAGTGCTCCATCTCTGAGGGGCAACAATTCTTTTATAAAAATAATCAATCAGACTTCCATCTGTTTAATAAGGTGACTATGGACCACATTCCTGATATTTTTAATGACAGCATTAAGTGTGATTTAATGAATCGCATGGTGTTCTGAGTCATTGAATACACTACTTTGGTATTCTCTCAACATCCCAGATAATCCTGATCCTGTTCTTTAAATTCAGCAGTCAACTGCTAAATTTATGGACAGGTTTGGAGGCAGCATCAAGTCTTCTTATAAATTTCCTCACATTATAAATTTACAACAGACAGATAATGTCCATATTTGGGGGGAAAGAACTGCTTAATCTCAAAACCACCGAAAAGATAATAACGTTTGAAAATTTACTTGGAAGAAGACTTTTTTGAGCTTTTTTAATTTATGTTATTTGTATGTATATATTTTCAGAAAGCATAATTACTGCTTTGTGTAGTTGTTATGAGTAATGTTATGACTACCTGATGTGCAAGTTAGAATTCTATTACATTCATAATTTTGTCATATTTTTCTAAGTATTTCATTTATTAAATAATAAATACATTACTCTGAATGCTCAATACTTTCAAATGTTCAGATTTTAAAGAATTTCATTTTAAAATTCTTTTAAATTGATTTTTCTTTAAAAACAAATTCCAACTCCTTGATTAGAAATACTCCTCACAGCTCCATACCAGGTCTTTCTGTTTTTCAACCAGGTCTTTCTTTTTTTCAACCAGGTTCCATAGAAAGACTTGGTTTTTGTTGGTTTCATGCCTTTTAATAGTATCATCCAATTAGCCAATTTTAGAGAGCTGTCTTAAATCTCACACAAACAGTGTTTAATTTAAAGAGTGCTATGATAATCAGTGATAGGAATGGTAATTTCACCATCAGTTATTACAGTTACTGGACTTGTTATATTTTATTACTACTCACTGAGAAAGGATTGCTATTGCGCATGTCGCGAATGCACCTTTATAAATTTCAGCTAATCACATAAAACTGGAACAACAATGTATATCAATTGCTGATTACTTTGTCTACTGAACATAATGTAGGATGTTGTCCACATAAATCTTCTGTAATTTTTAGTTTCATTAACAGGAAAATAACTTTAAAAACACTTAACATGGTTTGCATCATGATCAAGATTTCATGGCTTTGCTTATGTGTAAAGTAAAGATGAGCAGTTTCTCTCAGAAAGCTTTCCATGAAGGAATTCTCAGCTTACGCAGATAGCTCTTTAGAGCTTTGCCACAATCAATCATATACGTAATAACAAAACTTTATGATACGCCTACATTAGTATTTCTTCTGTATTATATATCATACTTCTCATTTCTATTACAAATTAATATTCGATGAAAAACAAAAATCTTTTCAAGTTATTCAAAAAGTGCAAGTTTAAACAGTAGCACACTGAACATGACCTCACCGTGAACATGCCAAGTAATGAGGAAATAACATTTTAAACATCTTGCACAGGACTGAGTCAGGAATAACACATTAAATACATGTACAGTACAAAGTCCGTAATCCGGACGTCCATTATCCAGAATGATCTATAATCTGGACCTCAAAGCCACAAACTTAACGCATGTATGTAGAGAATGCGCATACATTACGCGCGTATGCTTTATGCATGCGCACGTTAAAATAAATGTTTACAAATAAATATTAAGCCTTTTTTTGTAAAATTTGATACCCTTTAGATCATAATGGCTTTTTTATTTCATAAATTACGGTTTCATACTTTTAATAGTATAATTTCTGTATGCCATCTTACCAAATTTAAATTGATGATCTATAATCCGGAAAAACCCCTAATACAGGATGGCCGAAGTCTCGACGAGTCCGGATTACAGAGTTTGTACTGTATATCAGAAAATATCAGAAAAATATTTGCATGAAGTAAGAAATAAAATATAATCAAACAATCATTTAAAAAAATGTAATCAATTTCCATTTTTTAAAAAGAAAGTTCCAGTAATATGATTCAAACATTATATTTACCTCTTTAACTCTCTGACATTCAGAATTAAAAAGAAAAGTTCCAAATAAGCAGCTATACAAGTGGTCTAGAATTGTTATAAGGAAATGCTCATTAAATTCAAAGGCATTGGGAAACTGCAAAACAAATGCAATGAAGATTTAGTGCTTCATGAAACCGAAAATACTAGAAAAACAAACAAACTAGTAATTTTAAATAGCTACTTTGCACGTCATCTGCCAAACACAGTCAATAAACTGAAGGAAGACAGGTGAACGATCTGCATCAGAATGCTTGTCATCACCATGGCCAATACGCTACAACAAATAGAAACATTTTACACAAAGAAGTATAAAACTCGCTTTTAAGAACATTTCAAATAACACACAGCTTACATATTTTAATTATTAATTTAATGTGCCAAAATGCGAAACACAGGTAGGTTGTAACTGAAGGGATATATTCTCAAATCAACTGCATAATTCAAGCCCTATTTTCCTACACTAGAATTGAGTCCTAATCGATATACATACTTTTGCTCTAAAAAAAAATTTTTATACACTGATGAATCACACATAAATAAAAAAATGAAAGCTAACTTAACGACAGTTTCAACAACCAAAACATCAGCTACAGAACTTATAAACTTAATTCAAAGACAATTTTAATAAACAAAATATTTGCTAGAGCTTTTTTCACAACTTCATATAAATCCATTGGCAAAAATGAGTACCAGTATTTTTTTAGCAAGTTAACTTTTTATACTAATATAATTTTAATACATGCAAACATTATAAAAAGGTCTATTTTTATAATGTTTGCACATTATAAAAATATGATCATAATACTTATTATTTCTAGTAATTTAATAACTGTTTTAATTATTTCATTAGTTAATGATGTGCAAATTACTGTTTAACAATTTTATATCAGCATCTTAAACTGCAAAGAAACCTTCCTCATATGACCATACATGATTATAGTTGACATTGATTTCTGAGAAGATGTTGCCTCAAAGATGCAATGATATGCAATAGGATGATTATTTAAGCTTTCAATGAGAGGTTTCATAGTACTTACAAATTTTAGAAAATGACCTACTGAAAATCTATGAGCTTAGGCTTTCAAAAAATAATTTTTTATTTCTAGATGATTACATATAAATGTATGAAAATAATGCAAATTATACAATATTTAAAATGCATTATACAATATTTAAAATGCACTAAGCTAAAAACATAGTATTCCAATCTTCTTCCATACATTTTATGAAAGACGATATAATTTTATAATATCAAACTTGGAAATGTGTGACCTGATGGTCACAGTTTAAAAGAAGAATAAAATAAGCCTTCAGACTATCACAATCGTAAGTCCCATTATAGGTTTTAATAAAAATCTACAAAATTTAAATTTCTGTGCTGCATCCTGCAAAAAATGTGCTAGTGAAATAAAAAAAATTCTCATATAATAAAAATAATGCGAGATACCATCATTCACAATGTCGGAGCCTATATACATATACCATTAAAAGCTGTTTTGAAATGCATATTTATAGATACCTTTTACACTAACAACATTAATTTAGATGAATTGGTTTTAAACAACCATTTGAATAAAGGCTAAAACTTTAATTTTTGTTCGTAGTGAAATTATTTAATTTTATATGCCCCTATGTCAATGTTTCTTTATGGTGAAAATTTAAAGCACCACAAATTATATAATTTTTTTAAAAAATTTTCAATGCTTATTTTACTTAATAAAGACTTATGCCTCTCCTTAAAGACATGAATATAGAACTCCCTAACAGGAACTTTCCTCAAGGAGTTCCAATAAATGACTTTTTGTAAGCATTTATTTTAAATGACCGAAACTGTTATAAAACCTACTGTATCTACTGAACCTACTGGTTCATTTCTTAACAGTGAACCAAAGGTCAATGATTAATTAATTATTCAGAAATATTAATGAGATCTCTCTGAAACACAATGTATACTTCATTTAAAACCATAAAACTTCCATGAAATATGCTGCAATAAAAATAACTTTTATATGTCTCTCTCTGATTTCATTACATTAAATTCTATAATAACTAAGCACATATTTTTAGAGAAATTAAAAGTAACCAATCAAAAAACACTGGAAAAATCAATATAATTTGTAAGTAACACTTTATATACATCTTTATGTTGAAAAAGATAATTTTTTAAAGCTTTTCATTCAACAAAACCTGCCTTGTATTGTGGAAAATCCAGCCTCAATTAAGCATAAGCAAATGTTAGGGAACAGTTATTTTTTTTAAGTTACATATTTACCTGAGCAAATTTATGGCCAAAACTTATCCATTCTTTTTCAATCAAAACTTCGAAACCTTTAAGTGTTCTGTAGTATGGATCTAGTATCAACATGGCAAGACTTGTGAGCTACATAAAATAAATACAATTAGATTAAAGTTTTCCAGTATAAAAGCAATGAATGTTATCAGTTCCATAATTCATATAAAATGGTTTTACTTTAAAAACTCAATAATTTGCACCAGTCACAAGAACATCATTTAAGATTTCAACCACTTAAAACCGTAAGAAACACTGCTACTTACATATAATAAAAGAATTAATTTACTTCTTTAACTGCATAAATTTGAAAATTCTCCACACGAATATATTTTCTCAGTTTTTATTACTAATCTTGATTTAACAGAAAATTAGCTCCTTGATTTGGAGCTAATTTTCTGTTAAATCAGAAAATTTTCTGTTAAATCTTGGTTTGGAAATCAAAGGAGGAAGACATTTGTCATCACCCAAAAACAAATTAATACCTGGGCTGTCCGATCCCAACCATCACTGCAATGCACAACCACTGATGTTTTATTGCTCTCAACTTTATCTGCAATGCGCAAAGCTCCAGCCATAATGAATCGAATATGTTCAAGCCAGTGAGTAGATTCAACACTAGCAAGCCAATGGTTTTCATCAATTGATGGGAAGCATACCTCTTTCAGCTTTCTTAAACTTTCTCGCATTACATGGATATTATGAATGTCTAAAAATATCAGTTCAGCATTCTGATAAGCATCTTCACTTTCATAGCCACCTCCACGAGCCTGTAAGACATAAAACACAGCTGGAAATACAAAACAAAATATATCAAAAGGAAAAGACTAATATGTAAGTGGTTATAAATTTTATTTCAAAATTAGAACATCGATTACCTTATTAGCAACAGCATTAACACTTGGCCGAGCATCCATTATAAATATTTTGTGTGACTGGGCATTTGCATCCATGATCATTTGGATATATCGCTCATCATCTTTACTACGCTTACAGCTTACACCTACCAAAGGCTGACTACAACGTGTTATCGTAGCTTGACTCTTAGAATGAATCCATGACAGAACCTGCATTTATAAATAAATAACCTATCTTTAATACATGAAATTTGTACTGCAAAATTATCCACATTTTAAATATTAAATAAAATTTTTAACAATAGCTTAGCAAATAAAATATGGCTGCAAGAAAAGGTGTCTTTGATAACATTTAAGGAAGATCTACTCTTGAAAATAGAAGCTGATAATGATGCTTGTATTTAAAATTATCAATTAAAAAAAACTAGGCTAAATTGAACAATACTAATGCAAATCCTATATTCTTTGCAATCACTAATTTTAAAAAAAAAATGGGATGGGGGTAAACTATTTTTAAAAGTACAAACTAAAAGTTGAGAGTATGAAAATAATTTTTCATTTGCAAAATACAACCACAGTAAATACAATAATAAAACAAATGCTAATTCCATTAACTTTCTAGTTTCATCAAATGATAAATCTACATGTAACACAGTTTCCCAGTACAACTTTCTGATATGTCTGATCATTAGCTGCCATAGAATGTTTATTAGTTCCAAAGGTGTTTTGAAAAGCTAAAGTAAGTCTTATAAATAAAAAAAATTCTTATTTCTTGCAATGAAACATGTGCAATATATCACCTGGTGTGAAAAAGAAGACAGAATTTTTACCATACTTGTTTACGTTCAATATCATTTTTTCACCTAAGGCAAAGAGGTATAATGTGAACTCTGCATACAATTAAACTGAATCACATCCATATACTTTCAGATTTTTAAAGTAATTATTTAAATCATAAATATTTTTAACCATTGCTTATCATGTTCAGAAAACGATATAAGTAATTTATAGTAAAGTATTTTATCATTAAAAATGCAAATAGCAAATAACCCTAAAATAATAGTAATAGCAATGTATTTAAAGTATTGCACTAATCTTTATGCTTTAAATGAAGCAAAATCAATACTTTATTTTAAATCTACTACTTCACTTAATTCGTGTCCTATTGAAAAAATAGGCAGCCATGTTTGATTTTTTTTTAAATTTCCTAACAATTCTTTATTATTCAAGTTTATTGAAATTTCTCTCAAAAGCATCAACTGCAACTGCACAAGCAACATCAACTGGAAATTTTAAATGCAGTTCTCAAATTCCAATATAATTTAGCTTAATTGTATTTGAGAATTATCCTCTGAAAGATCAAAACTCGAAGCTGTTTCGTGTCCAATTAGTTCTTAGATATTTCTAATGAAATATGTACAGCATTTATGTCATTAGCATATTTAAGTGCTAAATTAGGAGCTGCTTCATTTAAATTATCTAAATAAAAAAATAGTTTTACACTAGTTAAATTAATCTAGAAAGATTAATTTATTTCCGTATGTGCATTTAATTTCCGTATGTGAGTTATGCGATAAAAACATGTATCGCTTCTTTGATTTCTACAATGAAAAACAATTTTTTTTGAAAAATTATTTCTTTTATCAATAAATTCTTGACAACATAATTATCAACCTTTCATTTTTACTCTATTCACATTCTGTTAATATATTCATTATCAAAGCTAAATTTTTATATTTCTAAAGTTTTTTTTTTTTCCACCTCTTTTGTAAAGAAAGTAATTATCCCTTGGGTCTGTTTATCTATTTAATTCAGTTCAGCAAAGCATATGGGAGCTAAGGAAGCTGATGCTCATAGTGAAACTTGCAAAAACACCAATGCAGAACAGCCACACTGGGATTAAAACCCACATTAATCATTCTATTAAAAGTGCAGCTTTATGCAGAACTAAAATTTTTGACTGTCCAGCCTTTATGTGCTTTTTCTGTTTCTTTGAGTTTCAAACTGAATGCAGGTAACACAATAAAAATTTTGAAACTAATTTGCTTTAAGCTGGTATTATTTTCAAACAAATGCAATGTTTTGTCATTTGATACTTTACATAAATGTAATGCATTAATATATATCATAAATAATAATAATGAGTTAAAAATTATATAAAATATAAGATACTGATTTTTCTTTCCATTATTTATCCAAAATTATTTTTAAATTTATAATAATTAAATAAGTTTTTTATAGGTTTGGTTAACTGATTAAAGCAGATGAGAACAAATCTCACTAAAACCTTTCTGAAGGGTTTTCTAATGGAAATTGACTCAGCTTATATATTGCAAGATATTTCCATACTAAGTAATATTTGTAATGCCGTAAAAATTAGACAGTTGTGCCAATTAGGAAGTTTAAGGGTAATATTCTTAACCACTTTGTTTGAAGTTTACATTTAAGGATATTAAAGAGTTAAGCCTTTTTGTTAGGCAAATGTTATAATTATTTATGCTTTTTTTTTTCTTTTTTTAGTATTAATAAACAAGTATCAGATTAGTAGACATAATGCTGGATTGTAAGCACCAGGTCTTTTGTTATCTGAATGTGTTTATTCCTTATAAATCACAACGCAATGCTAAATAGTTAGGTTAGATTTTAGGTAAATTTAATTTGTGTGAGGTATGTTCTTAAAAGGCACCTTAACACTTGAAAACACAAATATAATTATAATAGTTGTTTTCTCCACTGAAGATTGAGATTAGAATCTTTCCAATCTGGAATAAAATAAGGCTTTTTTTGCAGACATTCTGCAGCTAAACGATAGAAAGAAATCTATTTTAATAAATTGAGGTATTTTATATTATTTCGCAGCATACATAAGGAAAAAATATGTGCATTAAATTTCGTGATGGTATGTCATCATACTGCTATAATTAATTTCAGGATTATGCCAGAGGAAAATTTCCTGAAATTTGGAAATATTATTTACTAATAATAAATAAATTTAGAGGGAAGAAGCAAACATTAAATTATATGAATAACATAAAAAAAGATAATTACTTAAAAATTGAATTAGAATAATCAATGAATATTTTAGCGAATATAGTTATATTACATGGTTAGCCTAGATGACTGATTACTATTTTTTATTTTACTACAAACTGGCAAGGTATTTATTAAAAAGAAAAAAAAAAGGTTTAAAAAGATTTTGCGGTAAAATTCTAGTATACGGTAAGGCTTTGGCACGATTTTGAAAATTGTCGCCAAGACCAAAATGACCCGTTTACTGCGCATCATAATGACACCAAATCTTGTGTGTACGCCAAATCCCATTATGGAGGTATTCTAACCAAAGAACGTCTATGTAAAGAAGAAAACGGTTCCATACAAGTAAAATGCTATTACGCCGCTAGAATGCGGAGGGAAAATTTGCCAAGGGATTTGGCGACGGAACCTGGCGGCCAGAATTTCCCTCTCCGCGATGTGTACAGGAAATTGAGAAACACGTGTTAAGAAAGAAACGCTCTTTGACAAAAAAGAAAAACTACGAAAATCCAGTTTTTAAATTATTGCGAAAAATCCAAGAAGAAACGTTTTATCAAAGGACGTTTCTTCTTGGATTTTTCGCAATAATTTTAAAAACGGATTTTCGTAGTTTTTTTTTTTTTTTTTCCCTGAAAATAACTAATCCATGAATTAATTTACTTGCGCCAAAAAATATTTTCTTTTCCTTTAGAGATTAACCACTTGCGCTAAGACTAAACTTCACGGTTGCGGTGCCGTGCGCTACAATATAACAAGCCGTAAAGTGTCTCATTTACGCCGCTCCGCATCTGCGAGTGCAATCCAGAGCTGTAACTCGAGAAATAAACAATCTCGTTGTTAGGCGACGTGTGCACCACGTTATTTTCATTTTTGCGATAAATGCTTAGCGACGTGGTCGCAGTTTGAGACAAAAGCATCTTGACGTGCGTGGCACGTCTTTTTAGCGTAAGTTGTTAAAGAAATTTTAAACGATATTCATTTTACGAACTCTTGATAACGTGACCTTCGAACTTCGACACTGGTTTCGAGCTTTGGCGACAGATATATCAGACATGCACAGCTGTTTTCCCTCTATGATGGAACGGAGCCACAGCCACGTCTGTTGCAGAGAGGTTTTCCTTCTTTACAATACATATTCTTTGATTCTAACCTCCATGGTACCGTATACTAGGATTAAACCCATTTTGTTTTATACGAGAACAGGTACTTTCTTTAGTTCATGCGCTGCACATGCGATTCTCGAGAATATTGGAAACCAAAAGTTGCGGGAAAGTTGCTTTGCCTTTCTAAAAGATAATCAAATTGGAGCTGCGAAAATTGGCTCTATTCCAGCTACCCGAATGACACTCACATGATACATAATTCGCCAAAAAAGTTACCTTTTCCGACGTCGGTGCAAAAATCGCTTTTTTTGGCGGGATCGTTGTATGAACTTCCCTGACTTTTCCAGATTTTGACAAAAATACTTAAATTCCCTGACTTTTCCCTGAATATTTTGGTCAATTTTCGAATTCCCTGACTTTTCCCGGTTCTCCCGGTTTTCCAGGTAGCGTGGCAACCCTGCTAGGAGACTGGTTCAGTGCAGTGGTTTTATAATCAGCAATTCTGCTCTAATAAATATTGTTTTCTTTTTGTATAAAATATATAGAATCTATGTAGTGTGTTATAAACAAAAAAGATTAATCCGGGTGTCATTAAAACAAGGCACGACACTGGCCATAAGTGGATCTTACAACTATGATGTTAAAGAAACCACAACTGTTTGTTTCTATGAGTCACAACTAAATTGTATTTGCATATTGAAATCGTCTCCTGTCTACCACCATCGACTTGTTAGCCACATCTGATACATACTGATGGATTTTTGAGTTAGAAAGATAATATATATGCTATGGGCACATTGACTAACACAACATTTTACCTTATGGCTATGCATTCCAGCATTGTTGAACCAAAGCATTCTTGCACACTGGGCATTATGCATATCGATTTATACTCTCTGGGGGTTGTCTTTTCAATTATTTAAAATTATATAAAGAAATTTTATGGTACCTTGAAGTGCAAAATTCAGAAATTTCATGACTGTGTGCAAGAAGGTTATAATTTTCTAGAATGTACAATTAAACACGACTGATAGCTGGTTGAAATCTTAATACATGCAAATGTTGAAAAAGAAGTAAATTCAAATTTCACCAAAGTCTCAAATTATCATTCTGCCTCAGTGCTCTCAGCACTTATTAATCACTATAACTCATACTCATTATTTTTAAGGGTAAAAAATACAAATTAAACTTTTAACACAGACACACACACAAAAAGGTGAATAAAAGCATGAAGAAATTCTTACAGGTATTCGACCTCTGCTTCTAAAATTTGCTACAGCTCTTAAATCTTCATCTGTAGCAGCAGCAGGAACAGCAACCTAAAAATAGATTAAAAGATTAATTGTAAAAAATAATTTGAAAAGCTAATAATACTAACTATAGTGATATATCTTGTTATTTTCTTGAGAAATTTCACATATGCATCAAATTTGGATTTCCCATTGTATGGTTAACCCTTTGTTGCATCATGTCCACTCTAGTAGATAAAAGTTTAAATTTGTTTATTTTTCTGTAAATGCCTTAACAGATTCCATTCCTGTGTTTATTCATTCTACATTATTAGAACTTTCAAGTGTCAATCACAGATGGCTGTATAGCATCACTAAGTAAAGCATCGCTATTTGAAAAATGGTTGCTACTTCTGTTTCCAAGTTAGTACAATTTCTCATAGTAAACATTATATAATATTGCTTACATTTTCTTATACTGCCATTTATTTTTATTCATAATTAGTAATTTTAGACAGTTTATTTTAAATGTCAGTTTGAGAAAATTGTGGAGTGGGTAGATAAAGATCTACTAAAAAGCGTGAATTGAAACCCAAATGTACTGCTTATCAAGCCAAAACACCACTGGAAATGTTTGTTTGGCATGGAATTTCTAGAACATTTGACATCTGAATCCAATAGGTACAGGTTTCAAAATCATAGCAAAATGAATTCAATCACAATCGACAAAATGAAGGTATTCTGGAGGATCTGTATGTACATGTTAGTTGTAGATTTACCATTTAGAAGATGGTAATGATCACTGTAAACAAGGCAAGAAATGATTTCAAATGCAATGACCATAAATTGTTGGGAAGAGATTTGTATGCATGTACGTATATGCATGCTATACACTGCAGTGAACAAACTGTAGCAATTATTTAAAACAAAATGTGAACAAAAATTTTTTATTATTATTACTAAGGTTATTTTAAGTAGAAAAAATACAAACATTTTCGTTTAACTTCTCTAGATTATTTGTATGCAACAAAGGGTTAAGTGACTAATGTCTTCATTTTACAATATGTTCTCCATTGAAATCTGTCACTATAAGAAAATTAAGGTAATTTCTAGTATTTTGCCTCATTTCAAAGATAAAGCAGTAATTGTAATTTTATTACAAAGGTATTCCTTAAACAAAATTCCCAACTTGCACTTAACCAACTAGTCAGTAACAGATGCTAAATTTTTGGAAGTGCTTCTTATGTTAGAATACTTTTACTGCAGACACACCAGAATAAACAACTCCCAATCTCTCATACAAATTTAATGCCTTGTGGAATGCCCTTATTAATTGTTTTGCTTGTGCAAATATCATTCATACCATTAACACACAAAAAAAGTTTCCATGTATGAATACAAAGTACTAAATTAATAAGAAAAATTTTAACTTAGACAAGAAAAAAACAAATTATTATGGCAAAGATCTTGAATAAAACTATGAGTGTTATTCAAAAATCGATGCCAAAACAGATGTAAAGATTCTGTACTGTGTACTTTAAATTACAGTTGAATGTGAAGAAGCTTAAGAACTAATAGGCAAATAATCGCTTGAGTTCGTGTGACAGAAAACAAGATAGAAGGGTGAAATAACCCTTTATTATTCCAATCAGGTGTAACAGAACTCTGTCTTGGAGTTGTACAATAAAACCGACACTCGGGCTTGAACTTAAGAGACTAAGAACTAAACTACACTAATCTTAACTAAAAAGATATAGCCGACGCTATCGAGATTCTAACGGAGTTGGCCACTTAACGCTAATTGACTGTGAAGCTATTAAGAGCCTAAAGTATGGCCAAGTGTAATAATAGATAGCTTAAGAGAAAGTAGCCTAAAAAGGCAGATGCGTGCTAACCAGAATCTTTGGTTCTCTCTCCCTAAGACAGTAAAACTCTGCAGTTAAATACCACTCTTCCTCAATTTGCATCCAAACATGATTCTAAAACTATGTTCTGGCCGGAAGTGGTAAGTTGAAATTAAGAAGTGACAGGAAAGGAGGTTTAACTCAAAATTTGACTGTTAATAAAATTAACATAATCCTTATACAGAGTTTCTTTTTTGTGTAATTTTACATTCACATGTTCCTCTTCATTTGGGTAAATAAATATTCATCTTAGAGAGACAAAGTTAAAATTATTTGATTTTAGATGATTGATTTCACGTTTTAACACATCAACTGTCATGGTATTCTTCCCATTAAGGAAGTGCATTCTTGCGGAACACTAACATTTAATGTAGTGATAAAGACTGTTTTTGCTGCCAGAGTTCAAGCCTTGTTCAAACTTATGCATCAGGCAGCTGTTATTTTTCTTTATAAATGAATGAGCTGCCCTGTCTAATCTGAATAACAAAGCAGATATTTTAAGATTTAAGTACCTCAGTGCTTTCAAAAATAATACATTATACGATTATAATTTCTAACTCTAGTCTATTATTTTGGTTTGTTATTTCTTACAGAACATTTACTAACTTTTCATCTTCAGAACCAGTCCAACTCCTAAGAACTTAATTCACATGGCCAACACACTGCAGATTCCAAATCAGTTTTTCATAGCCAATATTTAAATTAACACACAAGCATGCACACGAGGTCTATTTGATCCCAACTCCATAAAATGGAATGCTCCTCTTAAACCATGATTCACTGCCACTTCATTTCTTAAGAAGTTATTATTTAGACCATGTTTCAAACTCCTAGTTTATTTGCTAAATTACTTTAAATATTATTTTGGGATCAAATTTACCTCACGTGCATCCTCAAGTAAGTTTGAATTTCTTGAACTTATGCGCAGAGTTTTTAATTGGATTTTCTTCAACTTTTGCTTCCTAAAAATTAAATGTAATTGTTTTAGAGTACAAAATGAAACTTATGGTAAGATCATGTCTTTTCAAAGTGTCAAAAATATTAATTCATCAGAAAATAGCAATATTTGGTTACATTTTATAACATATGAATGAATTTTTATAATATATTGATTGAATTTACTTTTCTAATTAATCTCAATATTTTTTCTGTGTGTGTTATTAAATTTTACAGAATTTTACATAAATTTTAATGAAAATACTATAAACATTACTTTAGAAGATATGCAAATAATAAACCATTCAAGCATAGAAAAAAGATAATAATCTAATGATCTTATTATAATCTAAAAATAATTATATTTTAAAGAAGGAAAATAATAAAATTATTATTTAATTTTTTTTGCATTTTAATATAATAATTTACATTTTTAATATTAAATATGATGAATATAATTTGAGCAATTTCATTTTTGTTATAAGTGAGAATGTGGAAAGAAAAAAAAATGGTATTTTATGTAGATACACTCTACAAAATATATTTCTGGCAATAATAATTCAAGAAATGGGTAGCGATGGAGGGATTAAATATACACCACACATATCCTTGTGTACGAGAATGGAGAGTGTATCCTCCTAGATTAATTTCTGCTTTCCATATTTAGATTAATGGGAAAAGCCAGGAAATAAATGCAGCTTACCAAAAAAAAAAAAGTCTTGTAGTTAACACATCAATGCATGGACACCTATATACTAATAAGTGTCTTACAAATTCCTAAACTCATTGACTAAAAAATTAGAGATATAAACTTTTTAACCTATAGTGTACAATCGGAACTAAAGAATGAAATACTGAATATTCATTGCTAGATATTTTTTCCTTATTACTTTCTGCTTGTTTCCATTTTATGGCTTATCTGCTAATGATTCCATTTCAAATGTTCGCTAGCTGTAGATTTCTTACATATATTGTAAATACAAACCAGTTTTCCTTTGAAAAACCTCCATAAATGCAGCTCTCTTCTTAGGCAGGTAATTCCCCTGCCTTAATTATTTAACCAAACAGCCTTTTTATCAGTCAATTAATACCATATTTTCCAACAACACATTTATGTTTAAATACTCTCCCAAAAAATCTACTTGACTTACATGTCACATATAAAAATAATGATAAATTCATCCAAGCTGGCCCAAGCTGACAAGCTAGTAATGAAGGAGATATTAAAGTGATGTACTATTTCAAAATATAAACTAAGTAAAAGGGAAAAATCTATACTTAGAAAAAAAGGAAAAAATCTATGCTTAGAAAAAAAGGGAAAAAAATTGCATTAAAGAAAATTTTTATTCAAGGAAAGAATTCAGGAAAATAGTATATGCTACTGAAACATGTCAGAAAAAAACACGACTTTTATTTTCACATAAACGAACACACAAGTCAATCAAATCAGAAATGAAATATGTATTTATTTTGCCAGAATCTGCTACTAGTGGTGTTAAATTTGTATCCTCCTACATGATCACATGATATGCCAAAAGACTGATAGTGTATTTTTCTGCCATAGTGCCAACATACTCCCACCTAAGTTAACTTATACCTCAAAGTAACATATACGATATTAAAAAGATTTCCATAACATTATGATAACAATATACAATACACTAAACATCAATAAAATAACATGAATGAATTTTACAATGATGAAGTAAATGTTGCCCACTAAGAAATAATGGGTTATAAAAGGAGAAAAGAAAGAATACTATTAAAAGATTTTAAACATATATAAGTGCAATAATTTTGCTCAGTTCTATTAATTAGAGTTCGTCACAAATCAAGTCTCTGGGGCACCTTGACAACTCATCTATATCTTAACTTCAAGTATGGAGTTTGCAGAGAAATTTCTCTCAGGTATAGTACTTTCAGAAGACTTGTGGCTTGCTGTTTGGACTACCAGTTTGTGTTCTACAATGGGATCACTGACCAAGATTTTAAGTGGACACAAGCACTGAACTGGTTTTAGAGAAATGCTGACCAAGAAAAAGAACTTCTTCAGAAATGAGGTAAACAATTTTCACTGTTGCTGTCGACATCCAAATACATGGGAATACTTTTATCTACAAGATAAGCAATATTAGTCAGCCACCTCCGAAGCTTACTTTTAGTATCTGAAACAACTGTCTAAGTAAAAATTTAAGTATTAGAATAACTGGACAAATTACACCTACAGGATCACACAGCATATGACAGGATTATGCTTTCGGTAAGACAAGTCAAACAGCAAACAAGATTATTTTTTGGTCAACTTTGCAAAACATAATTCTTTTAAATTTCTAGTGTTTATGTGCTTTGTCAGATTTTCTGTCCCACATCATACCTAAGATATTTGAACCTGCTGAAGCCACTGCATCAGGATCAATGCACTCCCACCCTTTAGCTCAGATTTTCTTTCTACCATTTCTCTGGTTGATATTTTGATGAATAGGTTTATTCTAGTTTACTTTTGACACTTAATGGAGTTATCTACCTAAAAATTATTCAGGAGCTTTTAAGTTATACATAGTGGATAGGAATGACTTACCAGGTTGAATTTTCTCAAGTACAGTTTGCAAGTGGTAATGGATGGTAGAACCTAACAAAAAGGGGCTACTAGACACTCCAAAAACTACTCTGAAATGTCTGTACACTTTTAGTTCACCATCACTTGCAACTTCTCACTTCTAACCAACACCTGCAATTTCCCTTTTTGTTATCACTTGCAACTGGACCTTTTCTAAACAACTGTTGAAGCAAATGTGATCTTTTCTCTTTGCCCAAGTTATCAAAGACAGGCCTGATTTTCATGTTATTTTCTTTGCTAACACCACAAAATGGTAGAGAAAGTGCTAATACTTAATGCCCATCTACAATTTCTATCATTGCACCTCTTCCCAATCAGTGAAAACCTATTTCATAAGCATCAAATACAGACACAGATCTAAGATACTTTAAAGTTGTGTTTAACCTTTTCAAAAGTAGATAGCAGTAGTTTGGAAGTGGAAGATGATCCTCTAGAAATGGTAAATGTCCCACGAAATTGTTATTCTCAACGTTAACTACAAAAAATGTTAACTGGCAGCTTCTTCTAAATCAAAGCTGACCTTCTGTAACTGCAATATCAGCAATTGCAAATGCATCCAAGTGTCTAAAGGTCTGTTATTGACACTACTATGGATAGCAGGGAAGTGACTGTGAACTACTATGAATGAAGCACTGCTGTTTGATAATTTCTGGGGCAGTTGTCAAGAAACAGTCCATCCTAGTTTCATATTGATGGTAGTTAGAACATAAGGTAACAAGAGATGCCCACCTGTTATGAGTTTTCCAGCAATGTCTGCACAAATCAGGACTTCCACAGTCCTCATCAAAACTGAGCTCTTATCAGATAATGAGATACATTGGGACAAAGATAATTCTGAAAAAACTTTTCAACTTTTGTCATATGATGCAGCATAATAAACCATGAAAGAAAACATGTAAAGGAAAGTGGTTTTATAGCTTGTATTACTATGTTTAGAGTGATGATAATGAATGTCTTCATTACTGATTAGTTGAAAAAAAGCAAAATCATTCCCTGAACGAGTGAAGAAAAACTTTTTTTTTTGTGTGTGTGTGTGTGTGTGCATTTGGCAAGGTGGTAGAAACCACCCTTACTGATGAAGATTACTGGTGAAGAAAGTAGTCATACCAAAACAGTTTGCTGAAAGAAGCACAAGCAAGTGTTCCTGAATCAGAGGGGAAACAAACACTTTGTTCAAAGGCATATCGTGCAATTTATTAGAAAAGTTATTCTAAACAGCAGGTAGTTTCAAATAGTTACACACATGATAAGACCTTAATTAGCAAACGGATCAAGTTACAATTATTGTAATGACTTACTATAGCAGGGTATGTGTCACAAAGTTCATAATGTTCATTGATCTTCGTAATTTTCCAACTTTCAGTGGGTAAACCCTAAGAAAATAAAAATATTTAAATTTTGGGAAGAAATACTACAATTCTTAGTAACAAGAATACACATCAAATGGGAAAAAAAAAATACACTGAAAAGAACAGAAATATTACTATATTATAAATATATACATTTCATCAAATACACATTCAGTTAAAAATAAACTGAGAAAGAGCACAAATTCATATTTTTAGACATAAATCAGAATTATACAAGTTTAAATTTTAACAAACAATATATATATTTATCATGAAAGCGGGAAGACAAGAACAGATTTTAGTTGGCTCCCCCTTGCAATGCTTTGAAGTAACGAGACACCCCTCCTTGATTTTCAAAAAGTTTAATTATTTAACTTTAATTTGTAGGTAGAATTTTCTTGATTGCATCAAATATATACATATAAATGCATATAATTTTTTCCTACGGCATTTCAGAGCATTAGCAATGTCAGATATTATTTAAGTTGCATATCATTCTAAATGGAATAAAATGCTATTACTTTTCACACACTCGGAGTAGTTTTAAAGTGGATGTCTTTCTAAATTTTTTTTTAATTTTAAAGAAATTTTTGTAATCTGATTTTATCTGGTTTTAAACTAACAAAGTTTTCTGCATTAATGTTAAAATCATATACTATATCTTGTCGATTTACACAAGCTCATTTTCAAATGATTCAAACTGTGATAAGATTTTTAATTTCTGAAAGGTATCTTTCAATCAAAAATCATATTTGCGCTGTAATTAATGCTTTACGGCCTGTCTACACATAGCGATTTCCTCGGCCAACTTAGCTGACCGACAATATCTGAGACAGCTCACCTGTCCACACAGAACGATTTTCTTGTTAGTGCAGGAATTCACTCGGCCAATCACTGTGAAAGGAAGTGTTCCCGCCCTCTACAGCGTCACACTATCTACGATTTGTAAACAATGCTTATGGTTTTATCAAATAGTCAAAATAATGGATGACTATATTACTTTAAATTGCTACTATAGATACAGCTACAATTTTGAACTTAGCTACTGTTACAGAAAGGGAAAAAAAAAGAAAAGAAAATGCGTTTGAACCAGAAATTGGGTCAAACAACGAGAAATTCATGGTGAGCGTAATACCCTGCTCCGGGAGTTGGGTATTGAAGACACAGTACAATTCCTAAAATATTTACGGATGATGCCACGTGATTTTGATTTTTTGCTAAATTTAGTTTGCAGCAAAATTTTTAAAAAATATGCTTTTCCTTTGTGTACTGAGTACACATATTACTCCTTTTTTATTTTATTTATTTATTTATTTTTAAATTTCATTTTCTGGCTCTCCTACTTGTGCACTTAAATCTTGAAATAATAAAAAAAAAAAAAACATGTTTCAGAAAAAATAAGTAACTACTGTGCTTTAAATTAAAAGCTTTATTAATGAATAAATAAACAGTAATGTTATGAAAATCAAACCAGTATAAGTAAAAAGTAGTAATAAAGATTACTATATGACAAAGCAACAGCGTAATTTCAGTGCAAAAATTTCAAATAAGAAATATCACAAAGGTGCAAAGGCTTAAGTAGTATAGTTATTAAACATTAAAAAACTAATATCAGCATCATTAAATAACTAATAGTCTGAAAACTATGATTATATGACTCTATCAAACACAAAACTGAGTTTGTACTTGTGACTTTCTTTTGAGCTGTATGCAAATATTAAAGTTTTTACCAGTAGATATAAAACACATGCCAAAGGCCATTCGAAAAATAAAAAGAAAGGAGTTAAAATTCAATAAATACCACACAGTAGGCAAAAAAATAATAAATGATTTTTAAGTCATGCAGTTCGAATTGAGTGATGGAGAAACAAAATTAAAACGTCCTTGCAGGCGCAGAAAGTCCAAAATTAAGGTGAGAGCACGATCTCGATGTTCAGAGAACACCTGCTCTGCTCTTTACCACTATGATAGCTTGTATTAGGAGGTGTCAGAAAAGCTATATACTTCGTCACCTGATTAACTCCCATTTTCGGCGAAGTCAACGAGTCTTTGCTCTGCTTTAAATCCGGTCCGTAAATTCTCGACTGGAGATTTTGCTTTCTGAATTTTTTCAATAAGTGTGACCACAGTTTCAAGTAGTTTCTGAATATTTTCTTCTAGTACACATGACATGGCATCATTAATAGTTTTTGGAACTTTTCTTGGGGGAGTTAAAATAATTTTCACCTTGAATAGAAAAATAAAGTAATGGGGAAGACAAAGCTTACCAAAATATGAGAATCCCTTAATTTTTTAAATTTAAAATTTACATTACTTGTGTCCCACAACATTTTCTCCATAGAAATCTATTAGTTGAAAAATTTTAGTTTCGCTCCAACGAAATACAGCCATGTTTATTATTCCAAATGAGGAGAAAAGCACGTGATCACTCAAAGCAATTTTATTGGCTAGAGACTCCGATTTTATTGTATGCTAGTGAGCACCAAATCTGAAATCACGGCAGAGAACATGACCGATTTTTGGCACATGCGCACATCCTTAAAATTGTTGCTCTACGAGAAAGTCGGCCGAGAAAAATCGCTTCATGTAGACGGGCCTTTAGTCTATTTCAGGTTAGAATAGCTTTTTTTTTTTAAAAAAAAAGTTAAATACTGCTGCTGAACAGTTCTAATTTACATGCACTTTAATACATGTTTTATGCATGTAGGGCAAATGGTACAAAAAGAAAAAAATATAATAATAATAATTATCATAAAATATTTTAATAATATTTATTTAATAATAATATACTTTAGTAACATTAAAGTTCTTTTTTTTCTCAATTATTTAACTGAACACTGTGAATCATACAGAGGTTATAAAAGGCTGCTTTTATAAATTTAAATAATTTCCAAACATGTTGGGGCCCATCAGCAGACGAGCAGTAAAGTTGCTGAACACTGGTAGTTGTTCATGCGAGGTTTGAATCCCATGAATGGGCTGCTGCATGAACATTTCCGTGGTGTTTCTCATACAGTGTCTCACAAAAGTGATGGGACACTTGTGCTTTACAAAAGGAAACTGCAATAAAATAAATTAAAAAAACATGTAAAATTTTTTGTGGGTGTGTTTCATACTTAAATTTAGTAACAATTATTACATAACATACATTTTCTCAAAATATTAAAATATTAATTTAATAAAAATGCAATTGTTTAGAACGGAGCAAAAAATGGCTCACATAAGTGATGGGACACTTACTTTTCCATCAAATATTTATCCAAAAACTTTACTTTTTAAAAGGTTTTAATATTTTGTTGGATTTCCTTTTACTTTTAAAACATGATTTAATCTTCTTGGGATGAATTCGACTAATTTTTTTGTGATTTCTGGAGTGATTTTACCCCATTCTTCTTGAAGCACCGATTTTAATTGTTGTTTTGAAGAAAAGGTGTGTTTGCGAATTCTTGATTCCAATTCTTGCCAAATATTCTCTATGGGATTTAATTGTGGAGATTGTGGGGGGTGTTTTTATTATTTCAGGACAGTTATACAGCAGCCAGAGTCTAACGTTCAAAGAACTGTGCTTGGGGTCATTGTCCTAGTAGAGTTTAAAATCGTTATGAAAGTTCAATTTTCGTGCTGAAGATTTCAAATTTTGATTTAAAATGTCAATATACTTGTACTGATCCATTATACTATCAATAAAAACAATATTACCAAATCCAGCGTACGACATACAGCCCCATACCATAACTCCTCCTTCACCATGTTTTACTGTTGGCACCAAGTTCTGTTTGCGAAATTCTTCCCTGGGTTTTCTCCACACCAATCTGCCGTCAGAACCAAATATATTAAATTTACTCTCATCAGTAAATATAACTTCATTCCAGTAACCAGAATTCTTATTTTTTATGTTGGATTTTGCGAAAGCCAGTCTGAGTTTTCTATTCTTTTCACTTACGAAGAATTTTGTCCTGGCTGCTCTACCGTGATATCCAGTAGATCAAATTACTCTTCTAATAGTCTCAGAATTAACTATTACTCCATATAATGCTTGTAAATCAGCAGCAACTTTAGGAGCACTCGTTCTTAGATTTTTTTAAATATTTCGAACGATAATTCGTTTTATTCCATTGGATAGTTTTGATGGTCGGCCAGGTCTTCTTTTATCCTGAATCATATGATTCTTTTTATATCGTTTAATGAGATTGAAAACTGTTGAATGACTGAAGTTAACTGTTTCAGCAGTTTCTCTAATAGATTTTCCATGTTAATTTTCGAATTTCAGGCAAAGTTTCCTTTCGTTTAGCATTCATGGCTGCACAGAGCTAAAAAACACAAAAATTCCAAAACAAACTGAAGAGAAATACTGCAGACGATTTTGTAAATTATTGGCAATTGCTTCTGAGTAAAAATAAATACCCCAAAAGATATTTTTATTGCTTACTTCAGACGATTTTTGTTGCATAGTACGTAGTGTCCCATTACTTATGTGAGCCATTTTTTGCTTCTTTCTAAACAATTGTATTTTCATTAAATTAATATTTTAATATTTTGAGAAAATGTATGATATGTAATAATTGTTACTAAATTTAAGTATGAAACACACCCACAAAAAATTTTTACATGTTTTTTTAATTAATTTTATTACAGTTTCCTTTTGTAAAGCACAAGTTTCCCATCACTTTTGTGAGACACTGTATGTAATGTGTATATGAGCCAGTTTCCCTTACTAAGTTCTCTGCCAAGGCATCCCTTCCCTTAAGCATATAATCCCTGAGGCTTTTCTGTAATCACATAAACGAACATACAGAAATATTAATGCTATACTTATCCTTGTTTTCTGGATCTTTTAAGTCATACCTTAATAGCCACTTTTTTATACAAATGGGTTTTAAGAACTGTTATAAAATTTCTGCAATCACCTCAGTGCATATTGCATACTTTTCCCCACTGCCACTAAAAACTATTAAATTAAATATCGCAAGTAAGTCGCACCACAAGAATTAATTTTCATTTGTAAAATTAATTTTTATTCCATTTGATTTCATTTCCTGTTTTATTATTTTTTCCCCCTTCTATCCTACATTATTTAATTTAAGAGTACGACAGTGATATATAATAATTCATCAATTTAGATTCCAACATCCACGGATCATCCAATTTCTAAGTTTTTGATATGTTGTGAATGAAACATACACTGGAATCAAACAAAAGTGCTAAACCTCCCTACACTGCAGGGAAGCCAAACTTCAACCAGACAGGCAGAAGGACCATCTTTTTATTCTACTTCCATGACAATATATACCTATGTAAGATATAAAAGCTGAAGGAGAACTATAAACAAATTACGAACTTAATTGGCAACAGCCTTTCAAATTCCTTAACTTTAATACAACCCCTTCAAAGCATCTCTACTGCGTAATTGATATCATTCTTTCCCTGCAGAAGACAGCAATGGGAAAGCTCTTGCCCAATCATCATTCATAACTCAAATAAAGGAACCAAGCTCATAAATACTCCAGCTATGATGTATGCACTCTTTTTTGTTGCTTGCACTTGTCTACTAAATGGCAACTCTTTGGTTAGCTGCATTCTCCATTATTTAAAATGTAAGCAGTATATACAATAAATGTGGGGTTGCATTAAACACCCAAGAATGATGTGAACCACAAGAATGTTCATGAAAATAAATTGAAGTTGTGATTATCAAAGTATTACATCTAGCTAAGAAGCCACCAGTACGCCCACCACTTCCAGTCATCTACTATGCCATCAGTATTTCAGCTAGCTTTTAATCTCATTCCACTCTGGCCAAGATTGAAAAATAATTGGTACCTTCCCCCACCAACCCATGCATGTATATATGCACATACACATTTATTAAATATAAAATTATTTTGATTATTACAATCAGGAACTTTTTTTTTTTTTTTTTTTTTTTTTTTTTGGGAAATACAATATTAAAAAGCGAAAAAACAAATGTTTTCAGAGTATAGAAAAATAACAATGGTGAAAGAAATTTGTACCAGCAATTTTAAAAAATGCAAATGTTTAATTAATTTAATAAATTATTGATGACTTTATGATATTAGGTTGACTCTTCAGGGGTTGTTAAACTTCTTATCATACCACCAGTCAATACGTAAGGAATTCTGATTAAGCATTTCTGTGCATCCAAAATTACTTGAAAGGATATTTAAGTGCAAAAATTATAAAGAACTTGACTAGCTTTCAGATAATCACGAATAACACCCCATGCCTCCTCATTCCAATTTCTTACCGAGATTAAAAAGTGTTTAAAATCCCCCCATAGAAATAGTGTAATCTTCAAATCAAACTGAAAAATTAAAATAAAGGAAGAACTGTTTAATTTTTTTTAATCTAGATTAAAATCATGGCATTAATACATCAATTAATTGCAAGTAAAAGCAAAAGGACTTAAAAATTAATAGAACAATTGTCTTCCATTAATTATAAATAAAATTTTCAAAATAACTGCTATATACGTAGTTATAGCACTCATTGGTGAAATACTACACTTCTAAAGAAATGGCAGTGCTAAATTTAGATACAATGTAGGAAACATTTGTTCTAACTATGAAATACAGCTGAAGTATTAAAAGCCGAGCTGCCATGCCTCTCAATAAAATGTCTGCTCTTGTAGTTAATGCAAAATGAATGAAAATGGCTGAAATTAACTAAATGAGTTTCTACACATGTTAATGATCAAGGTTGCCCCAGAAGGTCAGCTTGGGTTATCCTTGGTAAAAAAAACTCCTTTACTAAAGAAAATTTCTGCTAAATATTTGTAAGAAAGAAGGAAATGTTATGTGCTTTTGAGAATAGGGTTACCTAAGTAAAAATTCTTGTTTCTACAAACTTTACTGTCAAATGCAAGCTCTTAAAATGTGTTACTATCATAGTAGTTTAAGAAAAATGGTACAAAATGGCTGAAATTATTTGAATGCAACATAATATTAATTTCTGGCAAAATGTTATGGAAACAGAGAAACAGAAAGACAAGAGTAAATAATCTTCATGCTAAATTGCCTATTGTAACATTTAATGAAATGAAAATGGCCCTGCTAGTCACAGAATAGATGCCAGAAAAGAATTTACAGCAACTTGTTAAAGTTAATGACAGTCAAACAATTATTACAATAATTAACTCACCCTGCCCTATTCATCTCGCCATTCGGAATATTGCAATCATTATGTAATAAGATTACAGATTAAAAGTCACAATTAACACCAACTTTTTAAAGAAAAAAATCTATAATTTTGGGGGGAACATTATCCTTAATTAAAGTTTTAATAAGTAAAATTATTTCCTTCTGCAATTAAGAAACTTCTGTACAAAGATTTTTTTATTCTGACTGACGGAGGATTTATCACCATTTATGGAAGTTCAGCTTTTAATACAACAACCTCATTTCACTCTTAAAACAAATCTTCCCTGCCTTGCACCCTAAATTTAACACTGTTGCTTCTTTAGAAGCGCAGTTTTTCACCAAGGATTACCATACCTCTATTGTCTTAGCAACCATTCTGAAAATTTTATTTATGAGATAGAAGACAATTGTTCTAGTAATGTTTTGCTTATATTTGCAATTATTTTCTGTATTAATGATGCGACTTCAATTCAGATTCTTTTTTAAAAATTTTAGTCATTCTTTATTTTAATTTTTCAATTTCTTAATTTGTTTCACCTTTGAAGAATATTTACTATTCTATGGAAAACAATTCTTAAACAAGTTTTAAATCTTAATATGAAATTCGAATCCTGATGAGATGCAGAGGTGTTATTCTTGATTATTTGAAAGCTAGTTAGGTTCTTTATTTATTATTTTGGAAGTTAAATACACTTTTCAGGAGAGTCAACATATCATAAAATCATCAATAATTTATTAAAATAATTAAGTATTTGTCATGTTTTTTTTTAATTACTAATACAAGTTTTCCACTGTAGTTATTTTTTATTACTTTGCCCAAAAAAAAGTTTTTCCCTCACTTTTTACACCATGCATTTCCAAAAATATTATTCCCAATTCTAATACTTAAAATTATTTGATTAATTAATTTAAATTAAATATTAGCTGTGTTAGTATTAGATTATTGATTTGAAAGTCCATTTAACTTATTTACTTTTGGAATTTATTATTTTGAAAATATATATATTTATATATAATCTTTATATAATAAAGTTCTCACCTGTCTCTTATATTCTGCAATAGGTTCATATACAGACCATCCATTCACAGCATATTTTCCAAGATATTCAAAAGCAAAAAGTGGCTGAAATAATCCAAAATTTTAATGAAGTCTGCTCAAAAAAATATTTAGCATTTCTAAAAATATATTCATTTATTAATAAAATTTAAATTATTACCAGCTTATTAGAAACTGGAAATGCATACTGTTGAAGCTTCTCAAATACATCCCTTCTGGAATGATTCTCCTGTTTGTGTGCAAAACGAAGATTTCTCATGTCTTTACAAAAAAGTTCAATACCATATGAATTTTCTCCTCTGCTACTCGCTCCCCCTACTTTTTCAATGCGATTAACGACACCCAAAGGCACATCTAAAATAAACGGTGGTTCCTAGTATCAGGAAAAAAAAGAGGGGTTAACAGGAAAATTAAGTGCTGCATTAAAAAAAAAAAAATAGAAATATTAGAAGAAAAAGAATTAATTGAATTAAATTCTCTATTTTAAAATTTAATAAAGCACAAAAAGTCCAGTGCAATGAAAAAAATAGTCTATGTAGTATAAGAAATCTAGTATAGCTATAATCTAGCTTTAATTTAGCAAAATTCATTTATGAACATGAATGAAAAAGTTCTCTTGCATTTGCTTCTATTATCTTTCATAGAGATATGTTTCCGTTAGGATCGGTTTAATTCATTTTAGACTGATCATCTTCAGCTGAATTTTGAATTCAAGCAAAAACATGCTAAAATGTAAGCTTAAAATACATAATTAAGTTTTCAAATCACTATATCTGAATCATGTATGATGGAATCATTTTTAATTTACTCTGATCGTGTACCTCACTATCTGGTAAATCCCAGGTTCAGAGAACTGCTGAAACTATGGTAATGATAGAACTCTCCCATCTAGTCCATGCAACAGATAAAAGACCTGCAAGTTCAAGTACTCAAATCCGAAAATAATACTTTCCTCCTAATTATGGGCTTGTACAAAATGTGTTTTAGTAATTACCATAAGATTTTAAAATATTTCTGTTGTAGTGCATAAAATTTCGACATAAAATTTTGGGGGCTAAATAGGTTTGATGCTTATAGAAAATGCTTATAGAAATTATCAAAAATGTGAATAAATTTTAATCAAAATTTTCAAATACTATAACAATCAGGATTTTGCACTTAAGTGAATAAAACAATCATTACAGCCCTACAATCAAAAATAAAACTCGGTGCATGGTTCGTTGTTAAGTACTGTCACAAATTCAAAGCAAATGAGATAACTATGATAACACTATTACCTAGATGCTATAATAAACATTATGGTAAGAACAATACTCACCACTCTGTCAGTGCTGCGAAAATAGAGCTTGTAATTTGTAACAAAAAGTGTGCCTCGTACTGGTCCAGTGAAGGGACACAAGTATGTAACATCCCTGGCTTTAAAGGGGCAGAAAAAAAAATATTCAGTATATAAAAAGTCAATACTAATCAAAAAAAAAAATTACAAGTTGAATAAATTTATTAGTTTTCCCTGCATTCTCTCAGATGCCATATGGATTACTACTAGAATAATCCAGTTAGGAAGGCAATACAATGATAATGTTTAGTGATTCTGAGAAATGTAAGTAATAAACTAAATATTTGCTTGTTGAAAAATCTGAAATTTAAGTATTACAATATTAACCAGTGAATATAATTAGCTAAAGCACCTCTTTTTTCATAGTCCATGATATTCCATTTCACAATTCATAGCATACAGTATGATACAGCAAAATATTATATAATTTTCCATATATGCATATTTTTAATGCTGAAAACTATAAAAATAATAAATAAGTCCAAAATTTTGCTCACACCCATCTAACTCTAGATTTAACAGAATTCATTTAATATTTACTCTCTGCTTAGTGTGTACCTTCCTGGTGTAACTGGAGAGCACATGCAGCAACAAAATGGGAATTCAAATCCTGGTGAGGGCACTGCACATCCTTCGGTTTCCCGGTTTGAAATAAACCTAACGGCTATACAACAAATGTCCAAACTAAGAGGTGGTGGGTGATAATTCATCACTACCAGAATTTGTGGGAGTATGTGAGGCATTTTCTCCCTCTTTAACATGTGCCTTTCTCCCTCTTTAACATGTGCCTTATCTGAAGGCAAACCCTCATATATTTTACTCTGAATTCCATTCTGACTGTGACAATGGACATTGGCTATAAAAAGCCTATGAACAGACCTGTTTTGAAGTCCCCTCTCTTCCTTCTAACTTAGGCCTTTTACTGTTATGATTGCACATGTAAAGGGAGGCTGCAAGCCATGCCATGAATTTCTTCCCATGCTGATTAGCTGCCACAATTTTCATTAGCAAGTCCTCATGCTTCTTCATATAATTACTTATTTTGATACCTAAGAACACGTTTAATTTTTGTCCATCATTTTGACATTTTTTTCCTCCTTGTATACACTGCTAGGATGAAAGAAATCATACATTCAGAGCTGAATCCAGTGACAAATTCATTATGTCATTTTGCTTCGAGTCATGAGGTTAACCAAGCAGTGCATTTTGGTGAAAAATAGCTGGACGTTTTTCATTCCTACTAAGTTCTATAGTATTCTGCAAGAATGACACTATAATTTAATTACAGACTTATGCAATGTTTCAAGATTTCACTTCCACCTTTTACAATGAACTTGCGACTGCATGACTGGTGTTACCAAGGTTTCTAGTTACCAAATACAGGGGTTGGTCAAAAATATGGAAACACCTTTAAAAAAACATATTTCTTTGCTTAATATGGTGTAGGAAACCCGTTGGCATCCAAAACAGCTTGCAGTCTTCTCGGAATGAATAAATACAGTTCCTGTATGTTTGCCAAGGGAATATTATATCATTCTTCCTGCAAAACGGTGGCAAGTTCAGATAACGATGTTGGCAGTGGATAACGAGAACGCACTTTCCGTTCCAATGTAGACAACAAAGGTTCGATAATATTCAGGTCTGGTGACTGTGGTGGCCAGGGGAGATGGGACAACTCATCCTCGTGTTCAGAAAACCAGTCCTGGACAATGTGAGCTGTGAGAACAGGGGCTTTGGCGTCTTGGAAGACACCATCACCATCGGGGAACAAAGTTTGTACCATGGGATGAACTTGATCAGCCAAAATGTTCACATAAGTCTTGGCAGTCATGTGCCCTGACACAGTTATCATGGGGCTAGCAGAGAACCACGATATGGCTGCTCAAACGATAACAGAACCCCTGCCATGTTTCACTCTTGGCAACAAGCAGTCTGTATTATAGGCTTGAGATGGCATTCTCGAGACATAAATTTGGCAGAAGTGGGAAACAATGTGAAAGAAGACTCGTCAGACCATATTACTTGCTTCCACTGCGCTATAGTCCAGGCTTTATGACTTAAACACCCCCTTTTCCTGTTACAGGCATTAGCATCACTGATGAGTGGCTTCTCAAGTGCAGCACGGCCAGCAATTCCCTGTTTATGAAGCTCCCTTCTAATTGTTTTGGTACTCACAGGGTTCGGCAACACAACATTCATTTCAGCAGTAACTTTTGCAGCTGTGGTCTTCTTATTTTTCGTCACAATTGCCCTTAATGATCGTCTGTCACGATCACTCAGGACACACTTTCGTCCGCGCTGTGATTTAGCAGATGATGTTTTTCCGCTTTTCAAATATGCGGAATAAATCTTCGATACAGTACCTCTTGAAACACTTAACACCTCGGCTACCTTGCTTACGGAAGCACCTACCATACGTGCTCCAACAATTTGCCCACGTTCGAAGCCTGTTAACTCTGACATAATGCAATGACAACCTCACATAACAGTACTCCGACAACAACTGAACTGTTTAGCACATTTACGAAGTTGTATAGGTGGCGTCAGTACTCAAAAACGCCAGCGCCACCTACATATTTCATTAAAATCAATCTTTCTTTTCAAACATGCATTTCACAAGGTGTTTCCATATTTTTGTCCATCCACTGTATGTACCTAAATTTCTACTAGCAATAAAAGTTCTGAATAAATACATGTCTCACAGGTGAAGATATTATGCTTTCCTTTTAGGTAATACATGGGTAAGTCAACAATTTATTTTTATCCAATTTTAGATTGTTAAGGCACTCTTGAATCAAATCTTAATATTCTCTTCTATTTTGGCTCATTGCTGGCAGGTTAAGAAACTATTTAACATGTATGGCCAATAGCAAAAATGCTGCATACATGATTCAAACAATTGTAGGTATGTTGTTACTGAACTGTTGATAGTAAATATAATAAAATGATAACCCTGTTTTAAAGAGTAAGAAAAACTTTATTTTCAAATATATTACATATACATATATAAATTTTAAGTGTCTAAAGTTAAAAGTAAAGTGGATACAAAGCAAGGCAATGCCTCAACAATATTAATAATTCCAGCCATGTATAAGAGGTTTAACATAACATCTACAAATCAAAATTAAAATAAGAATTCACAGTAGGATTGGTTCTACAAGGATGTGCTACATAAATAACTGAAATTTTCACAGCTGCCATTTGCATATTCTTTTTCTTCATTGGCCAGAGGGAATGGGAAGGCAAGCCCCCACATTTTTCACTCTAAATTCCATTTCAAACGTGACAATGGATACTGGCTATAAAATCTATAAACAGACCTGTTTTGAAATTTACCTCACTCTCTTCCTTCTTACTTAGCCCTTTTACTGTTATGATCGCACATGTAAATGAAGGCTGCAAGACATGTCTAGTGACTTTTTTCTCATACTGATTCAGTGCCATAGTTTTTACTAGGGAGTCCTTCATATAATTACTTACTTTCATAACCCTGTTTCATATACGTCCATCAAGATATTTTGCCCTTGTTGCACACACAGCTAGGAGAAAGAAAAATTTGCAAATTCAGAATTGAAGTTAATGGTAAATTCAGTACGGCAATTTACCTTAAGTTATGAAGTCCTGAAGCATTCTCTAAGCATGATATCGAAATTTAATTAGTGATTTTTGTGAAGTTATAAGGTTTCACTTCCTTTGATGTCCTATTCTTCTATGATGAACTCGAAAATGTCATTGTGTGACTAGTGGTACCTAGCTTTCTTGTGACCAAATATGTATCTAAATTTCTACTGTAACATTAGAGTTCTTAATAAATACATGTTTCACACATGAAGATATTGTACCTTTTTTTTTTTTTTTTTTTTTTTTTTTTTTTTTTGGTACATGGTCAACATTTATGATTCATCCAATTTCAGGTTATTATTGCAGCAGCTGTGCAGCAAATAATTAAAATATCTATCTCTACATAATTTACTAACACCTTCACGATGTACTTGAAAAGCAAATCTGGAGTATGAATCCTGGCAAGGATATTGGACATCCTTCAGTTTCCTGGATTTGAAATAAACATAACTGTTTAACAAGTATTCCTAACCACTATATGCTTTAAACTGTGATCATAACCCACTGATTCAAGATTTCAACTGCTTGAAAGTTCAGTTTAAAAAAAATTGCTTTAATTCTTCTCATATAGCTAAATTATAACTACTGCTGGGAAAAAAAGTGTGGATTAAAAAATAACTGAATTTCATTCAATTTGAAAAAGAACTAATATAAACAAAACAAAAAAATTCAGACTATTTAAAATGTATATATAGCAATATCAAAATATCATAAATTGTTCAAATCATTTAAACACTAAATCTGTATTAGGACAATTTAATGCATGAGAAAGCAACCGAATTTTGCATCTGTTGCATTTTTATTAGCTATTTGAAAACAAAAGGTAGAAAATAACCCAAAAATTTCATGTTAATTCATGAAATTTCATGTTAATTAATAATACAAATTCAGTTTATTTATGCTCATTTGAGAATTTTTTCATACAAATGATGAAGAGAGGCCATAAAAGAGAAATAACTTTGCATATCAGTGTTGTTATGCTGGCTTATTTTTCTAACTTTCCTGCATTTTTCGGACAGTCAAAAGCAACATTAAAATAACAAGTTCAATACTTAAAACTACTTTTATCATTCTGCAGTTTTTACAGGAAATTCCAGCATACCCAATTATAGAAACAGTGATTCTGAAAAAACTATCAAAGACACCATTTTCAGCATTTACTTGGCATTTTGAAGAGCACTCCAACATAAATTCCTGATTGGGTTCTTGTTCATATAAGTAAATTTGTGTGTTCATTCAACGTAAGTCAAAAAGGTCTGACTAAAATTCAAGAATACTTACTTAAATTCTTAATTGAAAATCACTTTTGAAACTTTTACAGCTTTTACCAATATCTTAAATAAATGAGAAATTCTTTATCAATAAAAGTATTTCCCACAAAAAGTTAAATTAAAAAAAGTACCTCCCCAATGGTTGGACACCTTGCTAGTTAAACATTCATTCGGATCAGATAAAGCCATAAGCCACTCAGTCATCTCACCACTGAGAACAATGGCAGAATGTGCCATGGGTATCCTGGGCAATCAAATTATACTTACAAAAAAAAAAAAAAAAAAAAAAAAAAAAAAAAAAAAAAAAAGAAATTCCATCCCACTTTTAATAAAGAACCCCTGGGGGATGGGTCTGGGAGTCTTAATATCCCTCTTTCCCTTGCACCAACTTCTCTAGAGGACTTTCAGCTCAAATTATTTTCAGGCCCCCTATGCTGCGAAGACTCTATACACTTAAAAATACCCATGCCTTCTCAGGGATTCAAACCCAGGCCCAAGGATTTGACAGCCAGCTCACCAATCACCATGCCAACATGCCAGCTGAAGTAAATTTTAAATACAAAAAAAATCAAACAAAAATTGAAAAACAAAGATTAATGCAATAATTATATACCACGAGAATTTCCAGGAATTTTTTCCCCTGGCAGGAGTGGAGGCTCATCACTTCTGTGAGGAACATGAAGTTCTCGTTTGGCCTATGTAAAAGTAAAATTACTTCTTTAAATTCAATATCTGAGAAAAGAAAAGAGATTTCAAACATTTATAATAGCTGTGTGACTTACCTGACTACGATTCAAGAGAAGTGTGTTACTTTAAGACTCATTTTACTAAAACTGTGCACAATTATAGGAGATATTATTAATAGCGAATTTTCAAAAGCCTAGTTCAGAAAACACTGTTTAGATGAAAGCAGCAAAAGATGGTTATCCAAAGTTTTCTCAGACATAAGCAAGAAAATCAAATCTCAAGTTCTCAAGAATTTTTATGTTAGTTCAGTTTCCTAAATCTCAAAGTTTTCGGAAGCTTAGTAATAATGTACAAAAGCAAATTTTTAAAATACCTCTGTATGAGATGATTTTTTTTTCGTTTCTGAAAAATTAAAAGGTAAAGTTCTCAATTTTTTTACCTTTTTAATTTGTTACAAAAATATGTATAATAAGGAAGAATGAAATTTACAAAGTTGATTTCCATATTTCTTTAAGTTAATAACATAAAAAGTTTATTTCATTCATTATGTGCAAAATAAATTTAAATATTTTAAAATAATGAATTTGGGGGGATGTTAAAAATAACACAAAAAGACTCGCATCCTTTGGGTTTTGAAAACTTTTTCAATCAAACCCCATGATCCTGCTAAGCACTAGAAGCTTTAATAACCAAACAAATTTAAACAATATGTTATATTTCTTAAACTTTTAGATGCAATTTCCTCACTTATTCCTAGAAGTGCATGCTCCATTTTTACAGATGTTTTGCTTTTAAGTCCCCAATACACGTGTGAAGTTAAGGTGAACTTATTGTATGTCGCACTATCCCTTAGCTCATATTTTACATTTCTTCCAAAATATTCTGAAAAAAAAAAAAATGCTAACAAATAACATTATTATGTAAAACAAATGAACATTAACTGACTTCTAATATATCAAACCTAATATCTTCAAGGGCTTTAAACCACTGACTTTTTAGTTATAATCCTCTCAGGTAATTACTGTCATGAAGACTTGAAGAACATGAGAAGTACATGAATTTAAACAATATATAGGAAATTTGCAACTGATTTCTGGCTCATTATCGAGATATGTACACAAGCACTCGTATATGTACTGCTTTTAAAGTACTATATAACTGCAGAGAGGATAAAATCAGGGTATTCAAGATAACGACATGTCCCTTATAAGATACAGTTTATTTATTAATTTCTTCAATAAATAATTATGATTGAAATGATTACCTTCAAAGTTCATTATTCTCAACAATTTAGAAGCTTTTCTTTACAACATCAGTGGCTAGCTTAATGGTTCACTTAACCTGCGATTCAATTTTACTCGGATGTGGCATTCATTTTCGACCCTTATCAATATTTAAAAGATATTTTTTAAGATACATAATAATTATAAGGTGCAACTTTGGTAAGATTTCCACTACTCTGATGGTCTATGGGATAATAAGTAAGTACACTTTATTAAGTACACAAACAACTAAATTAGTTTAATAGCAAAATTACTTATACAATAATGCCTATACAGTGATATATTCCAGATCTACTATGATAACCTGAAACCACAGATTATATAAATTTGATATATAACATCACTCTCATGTAATGCATAGAGGTTGGACAAAAATATGGAAACACTGAAATAAAAACATGTCGCTGTGACTAATACGGTGTAGGAAAACTGTTGGCATTAAAAAAAGCTTGCAGTCTCCTCAAAGTGGATAAATAGAAGTCTTGTATGATTTGTAGGGGAATCTTGCCCTATTCTTCCTCTAAACATTGTCAAGTTCAGTTAACGATAATGCCAGTGGATAGTACTCATGCAGATTTCTCTCCAAAATAGCCCACAAAGGCTCAATAATATTAATATCTGGTAACTGCGGTGGCCATGGTAGATGTAAGTTCACCCTCATGCTCAGAAAACCAATCCTGGGTGATGTGAGCTGAGTGAACAGGAAATCTATCATCTTAGAAAACAGCATCACAATTGGGGAACAAAATGTATACCATGGAATGGCCATGATCAGCCAAAATGGTCACATAATCCTTGGCAGTACTGTGACCTTGCACAGTAATGATGGGTCCCATGGAATATCATGATATGCTTGCTCAATGACCAAATCCCTGCCATGTTTCACTCTTGGTAGCAAATAGTCTCTATCATATGCTTGTGATGGCATTCACCAAATGTAAACTCGCCCATATGTCAGAAACAGTGTGAAGCAAGACTCATATGACCAAATCATTATCCTCCATCGTTCCACAGTCAAGGTTTTACGATTTTTCATACCATTTCCTCCTCTTACAGGCATTTTAATCACTAATGAGTAGCCTTTTAATTGCAGCCTGCCCAAAAATGGCCTGTTATTGGCCTGTTATTATACTCCCTTCATATTGTTTTGGTTCTGACAGGGTTTGCGAGTGCGACATTCAGTGAAGCAGTCACTTTTGCAGCTCTTATTTTTCATGACGTTCCTCTTCAATGATTGTCCCTCATAATCACTCAACATACATTTTTGCCCGCACTGTGATTTAGCAGATGTGTTCTTCCATTTTTCGTGTATGAGTTAGTTATAAAGACCCTCAACCAAAATATTGTTAAATGGTTGCCAAGCTTGGCGACTTTTGGAGATTTTACGCCAAACGTGGCGACAAAATTGGCACCCAAAACCATAGCCAGCTTGGGGATATCTTACCAATTTAGCGAGATACCCCTTTATGTTACACTTGCCCCTGTAATCTTATTTTTCTAGCGCAGCCTCTTCTCTTTCAATCATTTCATGTTACATTATATAAAAAATACTACAATTTTATATATAATTTTACTAAAGTCATTTACATATATACAAAATCCGTAACAATATTTAAAGTTTTATTTGAGCAATGAAGAAGACTATAAATAGATTTCTACAATTAAAAATCAACTGAAATATTTGAGATATAAATCTTAAAAAAATGGGACTGTAGGCCAAAATGGCTGTTCCTTTCAATGCTTTTGCAATTCAACCTGTTTGTTTTGTAACCTTTTTTTTTTTTTTTTTTCCAAATAAAGAAGTTTTAATTATTTTAAATACAAGCTACTAGTATGTTATATTCATGATAAAAATTAATTACAGAACTGTTTTCCTTTAGCAGATCAATAAAAATAATTTGTCTTCCAATCTGTATCAAGTCCATTACCTGAAGTTTATTTTATCATTTGTTAGTAAACCACCTAAAGATGCAGCACATACTCAGTGACATAGTTAAACCAGTCAAGCAAATATTTCTAGCCATTTTTTTCCCTTCAGCTGAGAAGCATTGCAGTAATGGTAAGAATCAGCTTTCTACGAGTTAGTACTTTTTTCCTTTCTCAAGTCTGTTGTTAAAATTCTTAATATTAGAAACAGTACTTTTTCACTTTTATATTTAAATATATGCTACCCAGATGGGAAAGTGATTAGTAACTGCTATTGCCATAATGAAGGGCCCCAGTTCAAATCCCGGAGAAGACATAGATGTGAATTGTCTGTCAGTTCAGAAGTAGGTAATGGTGGCCACCTATTAGGTGCCCTTATAATAAAAGGGCCACTGTTTCTCACCTTGGTGGTGGCCAAAGCCTAAAATAGCTAGTGCCTGCCATAAAAAAATTAAATATTGTTTATTAGATACTTTTAGAAGACATTTGTATTACTATTTAAATTACAAATTATGCAAGCCAGCCTTTTTTTTAATGCTTTGATTTGACAGAAGCTAACACACTTGACATTATTTTCTGTCATTAATAAATATTATTTTAGCATCCAGGATGGCTTTAACACTAGCAGAAAAGCAATGGCCCTACAGAAAAATGCTGAAACAAAATTCAGAAAAATATAAACAAGACAAAAAACAAAAAACAAAAGAAAGAAAGCTTAAGTGATTCAAAAACAAAAATTTTTTCAAAGAAAAAGAAAATTTAATGTATTTAGTGTGGCAGTCATGAGGGATCAGAGGGTGTGCGCAATGAGGAGGTACCAAAATTTGTGGGTTTTTGGTATGGGTTGGCTATTGTAAAATGTTTTATTTTGTGATATTTGTATTAAATGATAGTTATTGTGGAATATTGCATGTGTTTGTATTAATTTGGTGATACGTTTAAGGTGAAGAGTAACCGTGCATGGGTTGTATTAATATGTAATAGCTTGTGCTGTGTGGAATTTTAATTCGTTGGTGACGTGTATATTAATAGATGTGTTAGCGGTACGGTTGTGGAAATGTCATATTGAAATAATATGTTCTAATTTACAGTTACATTTCGTGAAGGGTTGCGCAAATAATGAGAAGTAACTGTACATGGAGTTATTCGTTTTGAATTGGTTTTATTATACTAGTATTTGATGCGGTAAATGTTCGTGTATAATAATAGCTTTTTTCGCATGGTAATTTCATATATGTTCTTTTTACCGGTTTTAAAGATTGAAAAAATTGTATGTATTTCGTTGAAATTTTTCTAATTTATGAGAAAAAAAGTGTACATGGATATAGTGAAGAGCGCGCAATGCCATTTTTGTGCAATTCTGTGATTTTTTTTAAGTAAAAATAAGTCGACGTGTACATGGTTTAGTGATATTTTAATTAAATGATAGTTATTTTGTGAATTTTATGTTTGTAGGAATTTGGTACACGTTTAAGTTGAAGTAAACGTGCATGGAAATAATTTAAATATTTGATACTAAGTATTGTAATGGCTTGCGGTATGAATTCGTGGTGACGTGTATAATGTAATAGATGATTAGAGGTAAAAGTTTTTGGATATTTTATTTATTTTATATGTGGAAATGCTCATATTGGAAAGGGTTAAATACTTTTCGCGATCAGGTAATTTCATATATTTCTTTTTACCGGGTTTAAAGATTGAGAAAATTGTCATGTATTTTCGTGAAATTTTTGTAATTTATGAGAAAAAGCAAGTGTATGGATATAGTGAAGAGTATGCGCAATGCCATTTTGTGCAAT